GAATTCATCATGGTCGGCCAACTGACCTGCATTCATTCTCACCTATCACCTTCCTTCCACTGGAGCCCCGTCGGTGTATACCGATAGCGCGGGTGGGGTTACCATTCCATTTTCATCCATAAAAAAGATCTATTACTCCAGTTACAAAAACTATGTATTGGATACATCAAATATTTTCGAAAATATGTGTAACTTTAGGTTCTAGTAATGTGTTTAAAGCAAATTTCATGGTGCAACTCTGAATCGTAATTTAGACACGAGTTACAATTAGATTATTTGGAAAAGAGATAGTTTAGCAATCCTATTGCTAACTAGAAATGATCCTATGAAGTTAGGTCTTATCCCATTGCTAAAAACACACTCTGTCAGGTCGACCTCCTCGCCGTTCTCCTTGGAAACCATCGTGCTCAGTTCCAAGTGAATTTATCATAATGGGCTAACCGACCTGCCTTTTCATTCTCACCTATCATCCTTCACTGGTGCCCCGCCAGCGTATACCGTTAGCGCAGGCGGGGTTACCATACGATTATCGTCCATTAAAAAAAAAAAAAACAGAGTATACTGTGTCGCCCATGTCACTTTTCATGTGTTACAATTAAGTTTAGTTGAATAAAAAAAAATCTTACTACAAAACTAGGTTTTTACCCGCTACATTAAAGAAGTAATGTATTTTGTACCTACGTCATCTATTTCAATATAATCTTTGTCATAGTACTGATTTTTTACTTTAATGGAGTAACCGAAATTAATGACTATACCCCATTGGTAGATAGTAGCATCATTTTTTTTTTTATACAACTTAGAATGGCAAACAAGCTGACGGCCCACCCAGTGGAAAGTGGTAACCGTCACCTATAGACATGAGCAGTACCATGGACATAACAGAGTATACTGTTTCGCCCATGATACCCCCCATGCGTTGCCATTCCTGAGGACTCAGATGTTATTCCTCTGTACCCTGTAAATTCACGCCATATTCCACCTTTAAAACCGAAACACAATTGCTTCACGGTAGAAACACAAATGGGACAGAGGTACCCAAGCAATCGACTTTTGTACAAAGTCTCCCTCTGGTATTAAAATGAGTGATGACCATTTTCCGCCATCAATGTCTTGAGGAATCCAATATTGAATTGGTAATCATATTATTATTTCAACCGTTTATTGCCACTGTCCATTGCTGGACATAAGTCTACCCCATAAGGAGAGTTTTGCCAGTAGTTGTCACGCTTGGCAGGCGGGTTGGCAACCGCAGTTAAGCCATCGAGGATGTTTTAAGAGAGCCGCTGTCGCCCATCTCTCGCCGTCCCTTAGTCGCCTCTTACAACACCCACAGGAAAAGAAGGGGTGGCCCGTTCTATGTCTAATCTTAATGTTTTAATTGTTTTTTTTTTTTTTATTTGACGCTAGCCTTACTTGGTTTAATAGTTGAGAGAAATCTCATCACATAACATCACAATGACTAACACGTGTGACTAATAGCTTTCCCTGTGAATTCGAGGCCTCCTAGTGCGTGCTTATACATCGAACGTGGGAAATGCGCAGACGCAGCAGTTAAAAGGCCTTATGTGTTCACTATGTGCGACTTACGAATTGCATCGCATGCATTATTAGCATAAAATTACCATTAGTATTTCCATATTTTTAACCGACTTCAAAAAGACTTCTTAATTTGGTTGTAATTTTTATTTATGTTTGTTGCCTCATAACTCCGTCAGTTGTAAACAAACGGACTCTGAGAAATTGTTCAATATATTCTATGGTACTGCTCATGTCTATAGGCGACGGTTACCACTTTCCATCAGGTGGGCCGTCAGCTTGTTTGCCATTCTAAGTTGTATAAAAAAAACAAAAAAAAATATTGCACACGGCCACTTTCTACCATTGTACAACTCGCCATCGACAAGGAGTTCACCCCCATGCCATAAAGCCTAGATGATCGCGTACAGCGCTGTTTTAGAGATATTTCCTTCCACGAACGCTCAGGTTATGAAATGAGCTCCCTGTTGAAGTTTTCCCAAGAGATTACAGCGTAGGGTTCTTCAAAAAAGGATAAAGAGATTCCATCAGGGTTGGCAACGTGTGCGTGTTGCCCCTGGTATTGCAGGCGTTCATAGGCCACAGTTACCACTTACCATCAGGTGGGCCGTATGCTTGTTTCCCACCTCAGTGGTATAAAAAAACGATTTGGATTGACTACAGTCACCGCCATCAGGTGTAGGTTTCAGTGTCAAATATCTATTTTTATTTGACTTTAAAAATGAGACCACGTACCGTCCTCCGTTCGGATCGCGTGTGTGCTACCTTGTTTGCGATTTTGCCAAAACCTCTGGCACTTTTATGATAGTTTATTACTGTTATCAACATCACCTACGAATAGGCACTTAGTCATCCACACTCGAACAGTGATGTAATACGGCAATGCCCTCAAAAAGCCTATGAGATCGCGCCAAAAATCGTCTAGAAAGCGTCGGCTTGAAGAACGTCGATTTCCAGTTTAAACAAATTGATCGATCATGACTTCAGCATGTGGATAGCAATGCAATTGTCTTTAACCAACTTCAAAAAAGGAGTTTTCGATTCAGTTGTATTTTTCAGAACTTAGAGCCCCATTATTTGTGAACCTACTTGGAAAATTGTCTTTTTATCTGAAATTATTATACTTACAGATTGCTATCATGTAGATATTTTTAAAATGTATTCAATAGTTTCGTTTTTAAATCAAAATAATAGATTTCGTAAATTTTTTTTATACAACTTAGAATGGCAAACAAGCTGACGGCCCACCTGATGGAAAGTGGTAACTGTCGCCTATAGACATGAGCAGTACCATGGACATAACAGAGTATACTGTTTCGCCCATGATACCCCCCATGCGTTGCCATTCCTGAGGACTCGGATGTTATTATACATATACAGAGTACCCTGTAAATTCATGCTTGAAGTCACGTAACGTCACGATTGAAGTCGATTTTTGTTTTGTTTTGTGAAACAAACTCTTTTGTTATGTGACTTCTCAGAAAAATAAAAATAATGATTGCTACTCAGTCACATAAATTACCTGGCCCTCGAGCCAGGATATCCTAACTTATAAGGAACCAGGCAATGAAAATCTAGGGCATAACGGGCACAACCCAGATCACTCAGGCTTGTGCCAGTTTTGATATTCTTAATGTCATTCTAAAGTAGGTGCTATTATACATTTTGTAAATTGATAAATAACGCCGACACGTTTATCAATATTCAAAAGTAAATTTGCTAAACTTTTAATTAAATTAGTTCCATGAAATTATATCCAAAATTTCTTGCTTGAACGAAATACAAATTTGATGTTAAAATTACATAATATAATACTGTTTAAATTTTTTAAAAAATCGTCCTTTTGAACTTTTATGGTAGGATTTATGACGAACGATATGTTCCATTTACCGGAATGATTTCGTTATAAATTAATACATAAAATCAAGTCTGAAAATTTGGAATTTCATTTCATGGTTGACTCCCAGATGACTTATAAATGCCTTTAAATATGACTGAATAAAGATTTATAAGTACTTTGTTTCACTGTATTTATCATAAAATGTTTTTATTATTTATAGCCAATTATTACATATACAGGATAGAGGCTTTTAGCACTCGTTTTTCTCTGCCTACCTTGTAAAGGATTTACCGTGAAGATAAATAGTAGGATAATTGGATTATTACCTAATAAGACGAGGAAACGGGACACTATTTTTTATTAATAAATATATTGTCCACAAGTTGTTACGTTCAATCAGTTGTCACTTGCATGTCTCATGCATATATGAATCACGTAGTGGACTGGAGCAAGGCCAAGTGAAAATGCTCTCTCTGTTACTACGGATGCAGTTTTTATATTTATACAAACTGATTCAGTGTAATACATTTTATGTACGTGCTGATGAAATGTGTATATTATAGATATTTCTAGCTGGCCAATTAGCTAATCGTTGTGATCAGTTTTTGGTAATATGTTACCAGAGGGAGACTTTGTACAAAAGTCATATGCTTCGGCAGCTCTGCCCCAGTCGTGTTTCTACTGTGAAACAGTTGTGTTTGCATGGCTGTGTTTCGGTTTCAAGGGTGGGATATGGCGTGAATTTACTGGGTACAGAGAAATAACACCTGAGTCCTCAGGAATGAATGCAAGTTATCATGGGTGAGACAGTATACTCTGTTATGTCTATAGGTGACGGTTACCATTTTCCATCAGGTGTGCTGTCAGCTTTTTTGCCATTCTAAGTTGCATAAAAAGAAATCATGCTATCTTAGTAAATAAACTTAACATATTTTTTTATAAAATGTTGATATTTTAAAATAAAACTAAACTAAGGAAAGCCTATTATTAACAATGTACTTAATATTACACCGTTATTACCGTATTATGGCCGTATGGTCGCGGCATAGAATAGGCCACCTCTTCCTTTTCCATGGGTGTCGTAAGAGGCGACTAAGGGAGATTATGGTCAAGAGATGGGCCGCAGCGTCCCTTTTAAAATATCAACTGGGATTGCTAAACCGGCCAAGTCTGTAAAATACTGGGACCCCACTCCCCCTTATAAAGGAGGCCTCCTTTGTGTTTTTTTTTAATGGATTATAATGGGATGGTAACCTAGCCTGCGCAATCGGTATACACCGGCGGGGCACCAGTGAGGGATGATAAGTGAGGATGAAAGAGCAGGTCAGTTAGCCCTGTTAGTCAGTTAGTATCCTGATAAACACTTGGAATTCAGCACGATGGTTTCCAGAGGGAACCACGTGGAGGTAGACTTGACATTGCTAGCAATAGGATTGGTAGTCCGCATTACTAACAGTAACTTCTTTCCCGGGAGGCCTATGTTGACCAATGGACAGTTATTGGCTAAATGATGATCAGAATGTTGATGTATGTATGTATGGTGGTACTACGCTCCATTGCTCTTTGGCTATGCCCGAATTTGGCTTAAAATAAATATTAATGCAACCATTTTTTTTTTCAGGAATCCCAGTATCTCAGCAGCATATACTGTACAATTTGAAAGAGTTGGACGATTCGTCGTCACTTCGCGAGCATGCCATATCTGATGGGGCGAGACTGCGGCTCGTTCTGGGCATGCGCGGGGGCCCAATATCCTCGCGCCGCCTGCCGCCGCCACCCAACGCTGAACCCTGGCGGGATATCGAGAGATTGCTCGATAGTAACAGGTGGGTATAGTAAATTAATAAATACCATTGGACATGAGCGCCATCTAGTGGTAATCTAAGCGCAGCTTGTACTATGGATACTAGACAATTGGTGGCCCAAACCTTAAATACATTTTTTTTTTATTTTTTTGTTAATGTGTGATAATGGTATGGTAACCCCGTCGTGTTAAGTGATTATGTGGTCTGAGATAAAGCACGTAAACCCAAATCATGTCTATTTATTCTAGTCTTGAAGGATGACAGATTATCATCGTCTTCCTGCCCTTATCCTATTTATTTGGGGGTCGGCGTAATATGTTTTTATTCATATCACACAAGCTTTTAGCTTTTGGCTTGACCACCGCCCGCCTGCCTGATGTCAACCCTTCTTGGGAATGCATTTGTTAGTAGATACTAATATGCCACCTCTGTGTGGTCCCAGCATAGAATGGGCCAACTCTTCCTGTCCTGTGGGTGTTGTTAGAGGCGACTGAAGGGATTTAAAGGTCGAGGTATGGGCAGCAGCGGCCCTCTTAAAACATCAACAAACTCTAACTGCGATCGCCAATCCATCTGTCAAACGTGGCAACTATTGGCAAAACCCCCCTTATGGGAAAGGCCTATGTTCAGCAGTGGACAGCGAAAAGAAGAAAATAAAGAATTAAAAGTAGTAGAAAATTGGTAAAAAGGAATGAAGAATTTATGAGGAAAAGGGAAGGGGTGAAGGCACATTAACATGGGTCAGTAAAATATAGGCGTTTTATAATTAAAGCAGATATTATCTGTATAATTTTGTTATCAGTACAGGATAATGATTTGTCAGCAGAGAGGAGAGCGAGTGGTCGAGTGGCAGTGGGTGCAAGGTGACGGTGCTGGTGTTCCGCGAGGGCGGCCGCGTCAACCTGCTGCGCGTGCGCGAGAACCACGACGGCACGTACTCGCCGCTCGACAACAAATGTACGTATACTGTGTCGCCCGTAAGCCCCGTAAAAAAGAACATAATATTTTTAAAGTTAATAAACAAGAGTAAAATTAAAATCCTTAGCAATATATGAAACTAAAGATCTAGCCACGCTATAGAAAATATTAAGACAGAAATTTTGTGATCGATTCACATTCGAAAAATGACATAAGATTTTTTTATAACACAGGGGGCAAACGAGCATGCGACTCACCAGATGGTAAGTGACTACCGCCGCCCATGATCACCCGCAACACCAACGGCATTGCAGGTGTGCTGCCGGCCTTTTAAACAGGAATATGCTCTTTTATTGAAGGTTAGGTAAGGTTTACGTTGAGCGAAGGGGATGCCGAAGAAGTTTTGCTCTGTTTGCCCTTGGTTGCAATGAGCGGAATTTTGCCCACCCCAAAATAAGTAGGGCAACCCGAGCGTGGTTGCTTGAGGGAGGATTCTCCATAAACATGGTTAATGGTACCTCCCTAGGGTATGTTTTTTTCTAAATTCCACTGCCATGGTTGTATTAAAAGATGGGGGAGGGAGGTTGGAGGAAGGCTTTTAGGATTCAGAAAGGGATGAGTAAAGGATGGCTCTCTCACTCATCATACGGAATGTGGTGGCACTAAAAGTGTGGCCAATTAGCGTCGGTATTCTGTGAGGGTGTGGTACTTCCCCGATCGAATTGGCCCAGTCATGCTTCAATACCATATAGGATTACAGAATAAGAAACTAAAAAAAAAAATAACTGGTTTTATACGCCAAGCTTATTCGTTCCAGACTCATCATCACTGACGCTAGTGGAGCAAGAGTTAGACGATGGCTTGCCGGGCTCGCTGCACGAGAACGAGGTCACCATGGGCAAGATGCTCGACCTGCGCAGGCGCATGGAGAATCTGTCCATACAGCGGCGGCGTACCGACAGAACAGGTACTATGGGCCTTCATCATTACACCCCGCTGATGGTGAACGGACACTGTCAATGTAATATTTTTTATTCAAGTAAACTTAATTGTAACACATGAGAAGTGACATGGGCGACACAGTATACTCTGTTATGTCCATGGTACTGCTCAGGGCTATAGGCGACGGTTACCACTTTCCATCAGGTGGGCCGTCAGCTTGTTTGCCATTCTAAGTTGTATAAAAAAAAAATTAAAAGAAAATTATAAGCATTTTTTGTGATTTTATCGACTATATATAGGAATTTACCCGTGTGGTCCCAGCATAGAATAGGTCACCCCTTCCTTTCCCGTGCGTGTCGTAAGAGGCGACTAAGGGACAGCGAGAAATGGGCAGCAGCGTCCCTCTTAAAACATCTGTAAAGTCTAACTGCGGTTGCCAATCCGCCTGCCAAGCGTGGCAACTACTTGCAAAACCAGTCAAAAGTGAGGCTTATTTAATTATTTAACTCTTTAATGCGCCATAAATAAAAATATACAATGACAAGTGAATAATTCAAGTGAAATACAGTAACATAAATACAAATTGAAATATACACATAAAGGTACAAAAAGCGGTCTTATCGCTAGGGCAATCTCTTACAGACAACCTTTGGTTAAAGGAGAACAGATAGAATGTTGAATTGATGAATGGCTTATGTTCATCACTGGACAGTTAAAAGCAGATATGATGGTGATGGTAGGAAGTTGGATTCTGGTTTATTACTTACATTAGGCAAGTCGTCTCATATTTGCACGACCGTTCCAAAGATTAGTAAGTTCCAAAGATTAGTATGTAGACGGTAACTGTATCGCTTTATTGGACTGAAAATATCTCTGAAAATACATTAGTCAATGTCGTTTCTATATTACTAAAGACGTCATTATTAGTTGCATTTAGTAACATTTTTTATACAACTTAGAATGGCAAACAAGCTGACGGCCCACCTGATGGAAAGTGGTAACCGTCGCCTATAGACATGAGCAGTACCATGGACATAACGGAGTATACTGTTTCGCCCATGATACTCCCCCATACGTTGCCATTCCTGAGGACTCAGGTGTTATTCCTCTGTACCCTGTAAATTCACGCCATATCCAACCCTTCAAACCGAAACACAGCCATGCAAACACAGCTTGCTTCACAGTAGAAACACTAATGGGACAGGTACCCAAGCAATCGATTTTTGTACAAAGTCTGCCTAAAAGTAAATGTCGTGTGGTCCGTGCATAGAATGGACCACCCTTCCTCGTGAGTGTCTAAAGAGGCAACCAAGGGGACTTAATGCTCGAGGGATGAACAGCAGCGTCCCTCTTAAAATATCATTACAGCCCTATCCGCCTGCTAAGTGTGGTAAATACTGGCAAAAACCCCCCTTATGGGGAGGGGTGGGCTTATGTTCAGCAGTGGACAGTTAACGATTTATTTAATAATAAAAATAAAATAAATAAAAGAAATACGAAGCCTATTTAATTAAAAAAATATTCCTATTGTCCTAAAATACATATCCTCTTGGACTTAATAATTAAAACGGCACAATACCATTTGTTTCCAGGTAACAAGCCGGAAATACAGAAGACTAGAAGCGAAGAAACCCTATCCGTCCCTAGCTTACTAGACGAGGCCACAGTGGAGCCGTTCAAGAATCGAACCTACACACCGTACGAGGAGGAGTCGTTCGCGCCTATGTACGACGGAAACTACACTAGATATGACTACGACTGCTCGTTCGCCGACCGGTACACCCTGCTGCCGCCTATAGGCACCAGGACGGACTCGGACCAATCGGTGCAGGAGGTATGTGCATCGAGACGTCATAGTTTGGTCATTTTATGGTCATTTATACACGTCCCTCGCCTTAAAACGTCGCCAAATATCAACTGCAGTTGCTTGCTAAGTGTGGTAATTATTACCAACCCCCCCCCCCCCCCCCAAAGGGGAGGCTTATATATTTTTTTATGGGTGATAATGAAATGGTAACCCCACCCGCGCTATCGGTATACACCGGCGGGGCACTAGTGAAGGATGATAGGTGAGGATGAAGCAGGTCAATTAGCCCGTCGTGACGAATTCAACAAGAATTGTTCACGATAGTTTCCAGGGCAAACCACGTGGAGGTGGATCTGATAGGGCATATTGCTAGCAATGGGGCTTTCAAACTCCATTGCTAACAATCCCTTTCCCCCCGGGAGGCTTATACCTACCAGTGATTAGTAACGACCGATATGATGATACCGTCGTGTTGATGAAAGGTACGTGATGATAGTACCGTGTGGTTCCGGCATAGAATAGGTCACACCCTTCCTTTTCCGCGTCGTAAGAGGCGACTAAGGGAGGGCGAGGGATGGGCAGCAGTGTCCCTTTTAAAACATCTCCAAAGCCTAACTGCGGTTGCCAAATCGCCTGTCAAGCGTGGCAACTACTGCCAAAACCTCCCAAGGGCCTCCCCCATGTTCAGCAGTGGACAATTAAAGGCTGATATAATTATGATACATATTAATTAAATTTATAACTGATTGGTTTTTTTTTTAATGTTTCCGAACTCCGTTAAGTATTTGTAAACTGATTTGGAAAATTATTTATTTTATTTGATATACTTTTGAGATTGCAATTCATTAATTATTCCCCTATTTAGGGGTGGGGGGGGGTATACATGTTTTGTTTTTAATATCCAACAACTGGTGATCCGGTCCGACTTCGCACGGACAGATGGAATTTTCGAAATCAATGTAAAAAACTGTCCATTGACACACTCTAAACGATTATTTGAATGACAAATGTGTATAGTTTTAGTCAATCATATTTTTTAACGACCATGTAATTTTAGACCTAGTACATTTAACCCTTTTAGTGCCATTGATTTTTACTTATGTCTACTTAAAAATACCATAGAAATCTTTGTCGTGTTGATGTCATTTACCCTTGTCTCTAAAAAAACTGTATCTCCTCCAAAAATTATTCAATTTTATTATTTTTTTTACAGCGAGCTAAACAGCGACTGATTTCACGAGCGCTATGACGCTCGTGACACTTTTAGTTGCAATGCGCACGAGCGCGATGGCGCTCGTCGGCACTCAAAGGGTTAAATAAATACACATTAACAATGATTTAAAAAAAATAACTGTTGAGTTTCTTGCGGTCTCTACTCAACAAATAACAACCAATCCGAAAAAATAAATAACAATTTAAAGGTGTTTGTGAACAAGTGTATGTGAATAAAGATGGTTTGGGTTTGATAATTGGTTTTACGACATACACGGTTGATTGTTTGCTGATGGTGGTTGTGTTCGGCGGCAGGTGGGCGGTCGCGAGCGCGTGCAGGTGTCGCAGCCGCTGGCGGGCGCCGTGCTGGTGCCGCCGCGCCGCCGCCCGCCGCTCGCCACGCTGCCCGCCGCCGACTACGGTACGCACACCGTCCACCGCGTCCACACCATCCACACCATCCACCCCGTCTACACCATCCACCGCATCCATACCATCCACCGCATCCACACCATCCACCGCATCCACACCATCCACCGCATCCACCGCACCCATTACCTTGCTGGGTGTTCTCTATTCAGTGTTTATAGCGCAGGCGGAGACACTGTTTCATTATGGCCTATTAAAAAAAAAATGTTACCCCACTGTTAGAGTTGCTAATACATAATAGGTATTAGCAACTCTATTACTAGCAATATATATGTATATCGGATCGACCTTCTTGTGGTTTCCCTTGGAAACCATCGTGGCTTATTAAAAAAAAAAACAATCGTGATCGTGCACAAGAAAAAATGGACTGTCCTACAAGAGTAAATTCTTTTTATTAAAATAAATATATTTTGGCGGTTACTTCTTTCCTTTACTCTTTTGTATATGACTGAAACTTGATTTGACTCGTATTTTATATATCCATTATATATATATATATATATATACACAATCCCATCGCCCAAAAAAGATAGTGTAAGGAAAACTATAGTCAAATGTAAGGAGTGTTCAACACAAAACATAAAATTTTAATATAAAAAAAATTGTTTATATTTTTTATTCTGGCAATTTCTTTTTTTTTTTTTGTTATATAAAGAATATTTTTTCTAAGTGGCAATATTGCATTGTTTGTAATGAACAAGCCTACACATGAAAAGTCTTGTGCTATAACGCCTGTTGATTCAATAAACTATATTAAAATAAATATAAGCCTTTTTAATAACAAGGAGAAGGAAAGTATTATGACAGGCGATCTTGATGACTAGGAGAATTCATTGTGATGGAAATAAAAAGATTTTAAGAATGTTTGAAAATAATAAATAATAATGACAGTGTGTGTAGCGAGGGGGGCAAAATAATAATATAGTATATTACTGCAGCGGCCAGTAACTGAGGCATTGATGGACGAACGTGCAAATGTGGGCTGAGGCATAGCCGAGGCACACATACGTGAGACCATCAATGCCTAGTTGTGGCCAAGGCTTGCATAGTATTTTTCTCAAACAATGCGCGGAAATCAAAAACACAATTTTACCGTTTAAGTTTAATGACGAATAACGAACAATAATATTTTTTCACGCGCCATAATGTTCCTTTTTTTTAATAAGCAGTTTTTTATTTGCAAGCCAGTTCGAAATTTAAATAAAACCTTTTATTAGTTACCTCCTTGGTAGCCATGTTTCAAAAGGTCATTCCATTTTTAAATTACAGGACAGATATGAGTTTACATAGTAATTTATCTGACCGCAAAACACGACAGATATGGATTTTCATGCAACTTTTGCCGGCCGCTGCCCGCATGTATTTGGCCAGTACGGCGATTTTGATTTATGTCGAAGAAGATTGTCAAAATAATGCTCCCATTTCCAAGCATGTTTGAGAAAAAGTTTTTTTTCTTCGCATTACCAGCAGTACATCTATTACGTTCTAATATATTTATTTTTGAAGGTTACATAGTTAATGTATTGTAAAGAACTGGCGTCTGAAGTAGGATGAAAATGTAGTCTTAGTAGTTGAGTCGGTAATCTGTTTATTATGTGGGCAGGGCCGCTGGTGGGCGGCGAGGCGGGCGGCTGGCGGGCGGCAGGGTTCGGGTCGAGCTCGCAGCTGGCGCCGCACTCGCACTCGGCGTCGTCGCTGCACGCGCTGCAGCCGCTGCAGCCGCTGCACCCGCTGCAGTCGCTGCAGACGCTGCACCCGCTGCACCCGCTGCACCCGCTGCGGGCCGCGCCCGCGCCGCGCCACCACCCGCCGCTCTCCGATGCACTCTTCTCCTCCTCCACTTCTGATTTGGAGAAGCTCAAGCGGAACAGGTCATTTGTCGACTCCATATTTACGAATATCATTTAAAGGGAGAGGTAGACTTTGTACAAAAGTCGTTTGCTTGGATACCTCTGTCACATTCGTGTTTCAACCGTAAAGCTGACGTCCCATTCCATATTGTAATTTGATAATGAACACGAAAAAATATGTGAAATGGCGCGAAATTGAAAGAAGTTTTTAAAATAACAAACGTGTTCCAAATTCAAAATAATTATAAAGTTGAAAAAAGAAAAAGAAGTTTTTCTGTAACAGGATTTATGGCCAGACTAGTTATACTATATATGTTCACGTACTGGCCAATAATATCATTATAAGTACTGGCTGGTAACAATCTATTTATTATTTCAATGAATAAATCAGTGTTTAACCAACTCGCTTGCATATCACTACATGGCGGCAGCGATGCGTTCTTTTTATAGTTCTTAAATTAATATTTTATTATAAATATTATCAAGCATTAATATAATTTACTTTAAATTTGAAATTTTAATCGAGACATTCAGCAAAAATTATCAATCCAGAATGAATAGGCATAGGAATGAATTGGCCGCTCAATTACAAGGATCGGGAAGCATTAATTTCTCTCGATTAAAAAGACATAGTTACATCAGGCAGATGAAGGAAGGAGTTGGTGTCGTGTCGTATCAAAAGGTGAAGAGACTCGCCTCTTGACACCGACAAGAGCGCAGCTTTTAAGTAGGATAGATAGATAGATAAAAAGACACAGCATCCAAGAACTGGTAGAAAGTTTTACAGACAAAGATTGAGAGCTGGTTCATGGATTGGCCTTATTATATGTTAACAAAATTTAAGCTTGACATCCAAAATGCAGATTAGATTATTGTTCTATAAGGAACAGATTGCCAATTAACAGACTAGAAAAAAGAAAAAAAAAAATTTTTTTATACAATTTAGAATGGCAAACAAGCTGACGGCCCACCTGGTGGAAAGTGGTAACCGTCGCCTGTAGACATGAGCAGTACCATGGACATAACAGAGTATAGTGTTTCGCCCATGATATAACCCCTCTCCCCCATGCGTTGCCATTCCTGAGGACTCAGATGTTACTCCTCTGTACAGGCGGAGATCTCTGTCTGCCCGATAGCGGGACGTTAATATCTGGTTATAAATCACGTGAGTTATGTGAAGTGAATTGTATCTGCAGGATCCTGCCGACGCTGAGCCGCCACAGGAACCGCGAGCACCTGCACCTCAGCGACGAGGGCCTGCACCTGGCCGCGCCGCCCGCGCCGCCCGCGCCGCGCAGCCGCGAGGTCGGCAGCGAGCGCCGCCAGCGCCGCATACACAACATCGCCGAGCAGCCGGCGCAGCCGACGCGGCCGACGCAGCCGACGCAGCCGCCGCAGCCGCCGCAGCCGGGCACGCGAGGCAAGCCGCGCGTGCGCTGCGGCGTGTGCCGGCGGCGGCTGGGCGCCGCCACCGAGCACCGCTGCCGCTGCGGCGCCGCGTACTGCGCGCCGCACCGCTACGCGGAGGTGCACGGCTGCGCGTACGACTACAAGGCGCCGCCGCCCGACCTGCCCGACATATAACGCATTGTGATACTACCTTCACCTAAACTAAGTATAAAATGTTGCAAATCCTCCGCCCCGTGTGTGTTTTGTTTTTTTTTTTTTCTTTTCTAATGAAATTAATCGAGAAAATTATTAAAAAAAAAAAAATATTAATTGTAGTCGCTCTAAATATTGGCTCGGCCGTCGCGGCGGGTGCTCGAATGGTTTCTACGATTTGTTGTCGTCCTACGTTCTGTAACACTAATTGATTGATGCTTACGCGTATTAATTTGTCGGTACGGAGGACGCCCGGTGAGATGTCGCGTGCTGCCCGCCCCGTACTATGTACATAGGGGGAGTGTTAATATAAAATTCGCCCGTACACGACGATCGTAACGGTTACACTAGAACTGTACGTGTGAATTTTATAATAAAAATATTTTACGTTGAACCAGTGTTGAATGTGATTAGTTCGATCGTCCTACGATACACGTTCCTGTCGACTGCGAACGGAAGTTTAACAGCGAAGTAAGTGTATAGATTTGTTTTATTTTTATAGTACGCCCATGATATTGCCGGAAACGTGGTAATCCTGGGACGAGATTTGTTCATAATGCACTATATATATATATCATATGTTGGGAGTAGCATCACAAATATATACACTGAGATGCAGTTAAATTGTACATTATATTGTATAACTATATATATATATATGTGTGTATATATATATATATATATATATGTATATATATATATATGTATATATATATGTGTGTATATATATATATATATATATATATATATATATATATATGTATATATATATATATGTATGTATATATATATATATATATATATACATATATGTTTTTGTATTTGGAGTTGTATAAGTGGTGTCCTATGTAATTCGGCCTAATCGGTTGGGTATATATAAATTAATTAAAACAACATTGTTTTCAATGTTTGCCGTTTAGTTGATTATGAAATGGGAGTGATCGGAAAAGCGGAGAAAAATATATATTGTCAATGTTCGATAGTATTTTTTAGTTACTACATATTATTTCTTTTGTATTGTTATTATATAGATTTGTTGTAATTTTTGTAAAATGACTGAAAAAAAAATTTGAAAAATTATATGTAGGTAAAGTTGTGAGCCTGACTTTCTTTAGGAGGTTGCTAGCAATGCGTTGATCTTGCCAATTTTGTGGTTTCTCATTAATTATCTACCATCATACTTGACTTGTTTAAGTGGTGATCAAAATAAGACTGTCTCTATCATCTCTTTCATTATTGATCTGTCTTCACTGTAGATGTCTCAAGAGAGATAAGAGAAGAGAAGAAATGATTCTATTATTTGCAACGTTAATATGATAGTTTAAGAACATACACTTATGTTAAACTCTTACTTTAAAGCAAATATACAAGTAGGTATACATGTTTGTAATGCATGTACTTATTTGATATAAACTGGAGGTTTAAGTCGATGCCATTTGTACATTTGACTGACTTTTTTGCCATTTACATGAGTAATTTAATTTACTTTACCTTTTAGGTATCGTTATTTATAACTAATAATGAAAAACTACAAAAGTTGACAAGGGATTGAGAGGTAGTTATTGGTTTAATTTAAAATTTCCTGGAATCAATTGTGATTTTTGACATGTTATGATGGCTTTATAACATGAAAGTATTTTGGGGACTAAAATGTACTCGAACTGAGAACCTTTTAACTGAAGGTGGTTGAAAATACTGATGTAGGATCTAAAAGTTTATAGTTAACAGTTTTAACTGTTTCTGTCTCAACACAGATCAAGTGATCACAGTTAGAGGTACGAATTCTGAAGTGCAATTGTCTATTAAGATTTCAGTTTGGTACCATAGCAAAATTATTCGTCTAAAAATCTGAAAAATTAAATCCTACAAACCTATTTTAATTGATACATTATTTAGTCTTTTTTTTTTAATTAAATGTATCATAAAAGAGCATTCAATAACTAAAATAGGTTAATGAGAGGTTTTATGTTTTTTTTTTCATCGAGATGGTTAATGTACTTTAGTCAAAATTACGTTACATTTAATTCTCGGTAGTTCGTGACAATAATTTTACTAAAGTAAAGTAAAGCGATTTTTTATTTATTTTTTTCCTCGTTAATGTCGCCTTTTAAACCGACCCCAGCTGCCTAATTTCAGTATTTCAATCACCCAATATTATTAGCCTATTTTGAATAATTCTTTTTATTCAATTTGTAGCTAATATTGTCAATGGTTTGCAATAAAAAAAAATATATTATGCTAAATAGGCATAGACAAGCGTAGCATTTAATTTTTTCGTCCATAAATTTTTCATCATACATCTCATATTGTTTAATATTTTTAAGTGTGTTTGAATAAATTTATCGTGCATGATTGTATCATATTACAGATTAACAAAATATCGTTTGTAATGATTATTGAAAGTTTCCAAAAGAGGGGAAAAAAAAATATATATATATATACTAAAAATATCTAAAAGTAATAACTGCGTCTCAGTAGAAGTTCTGTTTATATCTAGACCTAAATTAGTCATCTCTGCTGTCATAACATTAATTATACTTGTAATTAGACAGTTGAGATGGGATATTTTGCACACGCTATTTTAATACTTAGGCTCTGTATGTTTATTCGTGCATAGAAACTTTATCTACAATAGATGGCGTTAATTAAGACAAGACCAAAAAATAAAATTCGATTGCATAGGATTTGTTACTTTTTTTTCACAACTACACTATGATTAGGTCATTACGCAAATACGGAAATGGTCTCGTCTGTCTATCTCGCTCTAAAGTCTCTAGTTTTATTCTCCTTCTCTGTAGCACTGGTAGTCTATTGGTAGATAAAATATCTATGGTCTCGTGAACTAATATTATAATTGTAATGTTTGACGTTTAATATAATTTTTATGTTAGAATTTATTCAATATAATTGTAATTTACTATATTAATTGTACTAGATACCAGACTAACTATATTTTGTGACATATTTAGTATTTTAAAAGTATAATATGAGATTGTAGTTATAATAAACTAGTCCATAACATAAAGCCTAACCAAGATGATCGTAATTGTATAGAGATTGAAACGTGAACGCAGAATTGGCGTCGATAAATTTTGATTCCTATGATATTTTTGTGCGTTCTCCCTAACGAGAGATCCTAATATATATTAGAACCTTCGAGAGACACATTTAGATGTAGACACTTGTACTACAGACGAAAGGTGTTAAAATTATATCCAGGCAAACACCTTAGTTCTTAGGAATAGTAACGTCATGGGCGTCATAGTGTATTCTGTAATGTCCATAGTGTTATTGTATATTATCTATAGGCGACGTTTACCACCTATCGGAAGAGGCATCAGGCTGCTTCGCCAATACATATACCCAATATATAATTAATAGGCAAAAAAAATCTATCAATAGAATCGTCATCGTTAGCTTAGACCGCGATAGAATGAGATGGCGGCGTACACTGTCTTGTTTTCTATGTGAGCGCTAACAGAAAGTATTCTATCGATAAATTTGTTTACCCATTTGTCTATGGGCACAAACAAGCGAATCGGTATATCTAGCGTGTCCATGTGATAGAATGAGATAGCAACACCAGGACCTGTCGATAAATGGCAAACGAATTCGTCGATGAAATCGTCATCGCTAGCGAGTCCGTGGGATAGAATGAGAAAGCAACGCTAGATGACTCATTCCAACTTACGGACTCGCTAGCGATGTCGAGTCCATCGACGAATTCGCTCGCCACTTGTCTAGAAGGCCAGATGTCTAACTTATAACGATTCAATCGATAGAGTCGTTTGCTACTTATCTAGATGGGTGTATAGAAATAGAAAAGAAAGATCCTCTCCGAGACGGAAAGTATCATTTTAAATTTAAATTTGACATCAATACTGTGCCCACGTTGTGATCTCTATTTGATTACGAGATTCTTGAGCCTAACATACGTCGGATACGAAGTAACGTGTGCAAAACGAGTCGGCGATGCGGCGACACGGTCTCTGCCCGGTTGGGCCGGCGCGCCACGTTTCATTTCATAATAGATTCTACATTAAGTTTATAGATAATTTTTATTTGGGAATATAATTTTTGGCTGATTTCGAATTAAATATTTATAATGCGAAAACGAGTCTGTGCTTTTTATTTATTACCATTTTATTTCGCCATAAAATATAATATATAATTAAAAATTGTGTTCCACAAAAAAAAACCCAGCTCCGATTGTGAAAAACCCGTTTATTTTGATCTTAAATTTAAACTATTGAATGGATTTTAATAAAGTTTCTAAAGGGCCAATCTTTCAGATAAAAAAAATGAATTTTCCAAATCGGTTTTACAACGGAGTTATGAGGTGACATAAAAAAAAAAAAAGAAAAAAATACAACTTTATTTATAACGTCGTTTGAAATATAAATTTAATATAGAAGGTATTAAGAAGTTAGATTTATACAGAAATTGCTATAGAGGCTCGAGATTTAAAAATGGGTCAATTATTTGTCAGGTAATTAAGGTCATATTAACTGACTCGTTTTTTAGTGTTGCACACACACACACACACACATCCTGACATGTCTATATTTAATTATTAGAGGAAAGAGATAGTTAGCAATGGAGTTTGACAGCTCCATTGCTAGCAATATGCCTTATTAGGTCGACCTCCACGTGGTTTGCCCTGGAAACCATCGTGAACAATTCTTGTTGAATTCGTCACAATGGGCTAACTGACCTGCTTCATACTCGCCTATCATCCTTCACTGGTGCCCCGCCGGTGTATACCGATAGCGCGGGCGGGGTTACCATTCCATTGTCATCCATTAAAAAAAATATATCGCAATCACACGGCTGAACTCGCGGGTAAAAACTTGTTAAACATAAAGCCAAACACCAGACCAGGTTTTGCAGAAAAATACAAAATTGTAAGTGAAGAAATGAGTATATTTTACTTGAATTATTTATTACATAGAAAATAAAAGAACGCAAACAAATAAATAAGACACACTTTTATGAATATTATTTGCAGAAAAACCTATGACATTCCAACTTTTCCATGATCTTTTGTATACGCCCTTTTTTTTAACGTTCGCTGCTAATTCCTATCAGCGACAGGAATTTGAAGATCTTTTGTAGCGACGTTTTTTATCTGCTCAGGATGTGTATTTTCCAAAGGTAGGGCCGTAGCTGGACCCAAGTTTAAGGTAGGGCAAAAGAACTTTTTGGTAGGGCTGAAGCCATAATTAAGTGACTTCGAAAAAGCGAATCTATTTAATTTTCTTGGGCCTTTCATTTTAAGGTTGGACATTAGGCCTTTTAAGATAGGGCACTGTCCCTCAATGCTCCCCCCTAGCTACGACCAGTCCAAAGGAGATATGTCGTTTATGTATGAGTCGGCTACAGTCAAAAATTAAGTGCTGTGGCGTTTCTTTCTCTAAATATAAATTTAATAAAGCGATTTTTTTTTATGAAAACCATTTAAAAAATATAACATATTTTAGGAAGTACGGATTACAGAAGTTAAGGAATCACGGTTACGTACGTACGTAAAGATCTTTTCTAGATCTTTATGCCCTCTTTCTTCTCTTGTAACTAACTTCAAATGTCGAATTCACCATAACTAAAATAGTAATAGTAATAAAATAGTAATGTAATATCTTACAGTTAGAATATATAATGATTTTTATTTTTTAATTATTCTAGTTTAAAATCTAAAATATGGCACTGGATCAAATATCTTGATGCTGCGTTTCAATTAAAATTTCATCGAAGATTTTCACAAAATTGTCTATGCCTTCCAGAAAGTTCTCGTCTGGGCCCATATCGTCTTTCTCATTGAAGAACACGTGAGCGAAATCTATAATCTTGACAATACCCCACGCATTAGGGTCTGAGGATTCAGTCGACAGCTGATCCAGGGTGGCTCTGAAATTCATCTTCATCTTGCATATTTTATCATCGTAATTATGATCAGGGGAGTGGCTCTGATTGACTCTGTCGAAGGCGTTGCTCCACGGGGAATTAATAGGGGGTGGTGGGGCAAAACTTGCTTGTGACGTCATGGGGCTAAGAGGTACGGATTTGACTTTCTTGTAGACAGGTCCTTTAGACGTAAGGAGCCCGCTGAAGTTGGAGCCGGCGCTTGCCGGGCTGTGTATCGAGTGTATGGACCGTCGCCGGACTATCGCCGCGGGATATTTTTTTTCCTTTAACCTGTGAAAATTTATTTAATTTGAATTAATTAAATTAGATTTGTGACTAAAAGTGACTAAAATACAATAAATTTTACCAGAGGGAGACTTTGTACAAAAGTCGATTGCTTGGATACCTCTGTCCCATTCGTGTTTCAACCGTGAAGTAGTTGTGTTTGCATGGCTGTGTTTCGGTTTGAAGGGTGGGATATGGCGCGAATTTACTGGGTACAGAGGAATAACACCTGAATCCTCAGGAATAGCAACGCATCATGGGCGAAACAGTATACTCTGTTATGTCCATGGTACTGTTTATGTCTATAGGCGACGGTTCTCACTTTCCATCAGGTGGGCCGTCAGCATGTTTGCCATTCTAAGTAGTATAAAGAAAACAATCCAGTGCAGTGATTGCCTGGTAACATCTTGTTTAGAGGAGAAATATGTGTTACAATGTGAAAGTAAACTTAATAATTTTGGATACTGATCATTTATAGAAGGTCATAAAGCATCTGCGAGAGGTGGTTAAACCCCTGCTATTTCACTTTTCTTGAACAAAGAGACGAAAGAGATACATTTTAATAGTGACACTGGGCCCATAACTTGGACATTGTAGTGAATGCTGGTGTTTATAAATGAGCAGCAGTATGAATTATAAATAAATAGTGACATATGTATCGCCGTGCCCACAGATGCAACCGTCATTCTTTAATAGACGGGTAACAAAGACAGATTTCAAAAAAAGTCACTGGGCCCATAACTTGTACATTGTAGCGGTTGCGACGAGAGTGACAGCTAAGTAGCAGAACGAATTGGACAAACTTTAATAAATCTTTACTGAATGTGAAGTATGGAATAACTTTTGGTTACAACAGAATATCATTGTTTTACTCTTTTGAGGGCAAAGCAATAAACTGAGTTGTGATCATTTTGTGTTACTGTAGCATACTCGTACTCATGAAATGAAAAATTATGTCACTTTTTTAAGTATTTTTCTTTTTTTTTATATGTATTCTTTTATTTAATTTTTTTGCGTATGTATCTATCTATAGTTATTTATCGTGTCTGTAGTTATTTGTGTGCTGTAAGTAATGCAAATAAATTATATATCTATCTATCTATTTATTTACTATCTCACGGTGCCTTAACTACTTAACGAATCGTTATGAAACTTAGCATACGCTATACGTATTATACAGGCTACTATTTATCCCGGTTACTTACATCCCGACCACGCGGGAAAGTGGCGGGTAAAATGTTTGCGTAAAATAAATTGTCTGGGCCCATACCCTGTGGAGGGAGGTGGAGGTGGAGCCGGCCGCAGGCGGGCGGCGTCGTAGACGAGCAGCAGCGAGGCGGCGTACAGCCGCAGCGGCCGCGCGCGCCGCGCCCAGCGCTGCAGCCGCCACAGCGCCGCCGCCAGCGCCGCCGCCGCGCGCCGCGCGCCACTTTCCACGTTTAGGAAGCTGCGCACCGCTGCACATACGTAGATAGATAGATAGATAGATAGATAGATAGATAGATACTCTTTATTGTTTCCTCCAAAGGATTACAATAGCAAACTTAGGAGGGAAAGGGATTGTTAGTAACGGAGACTGAGAATCCCATTGCTAGCAATATACCCATCCAGGTCGACCTCCTCGCAGTTCCCCCTGGAAACTATCATGGTTAATTCCTGATAAATTCATCATGATGGGCTAACTGGGCTATTTTCATTTTCATCTATCACCCTTCACTGGTGCTCCGCCAGCGTATCCCGTTAGCGCAGGCGGGGTTACCATACCATTTTCACCCATCAAAAGAAAAAAAAACTTATTATAAATATAAACAATTACAAGAAATAATCACAGTGAGAAAACAATGGGCGACCTTATCGCTAAAAAAGATCGTTTAAGGTTGTTTTAAAAAACATCAAAATGGATGATAATGGAATGTTAGTAATTTATCAATCATCTTACATCCTATATCCCACTAGTATTTTTTTTAATGGGTGATAATGGAACGGTAACCCCGTCTGCGCTATCGGTATACGCTGGTGGGGCACCAGTGATAGACGACAGATGAGGATTAAAGTAGGTTAGTCGACCCATTGTAAAAACTTCGACAAGAATTAACTACGACGGGCGGACGTTCCAGGGCGGACCGCGTGAAGATCGATCCTTATGGTAGTCTATGGGGGAAGCCTATGTCCAGCAGTGGCCTGATAATGGCTGAAATGATGGTGACGAAACTAACCCTCTATAACCTTGTCACCGTGCAGTTTCTTCCCGTAATCCTTGTCATATTTATGCAGCTGTCCGGTGGACAGCCGATACACCTGGAACCCTGGTATGCAGAACGCGAACTGCTCCTTGCACCGCGCGTACTTCTTCTTCTCGTTCGCTATCTTCTCTTCTGTTGCCAGTGGGTCCCATGTTCGTCTACCTTATAAGCAAACATATGTACTCACTAAATGTACATTGCTTTGCAGCATATAAATTATGATTATTTAAATTTTTTATGTGTTTGAACTGGTCCCAGGGTTGTGTGGTCCCGGCATAGTGGATGTCGATGACTAAGGGAGTTTAATAGTCGAGGGATAGGTCAGCGTCCCTCTTAAAACATCTCTTAAAGACTAACTGCGGTTGCCAACCCGTTTGCCAAGCGTAGCAACTATTGGCAGAACTCTCCTTATGGGGAAGGCTTATGCTATTGCTGATATACTGGTGACTTGTAACACAGGTTCTTCTAAACCTATCGCAAGCACCAGTCTATCACAAAATTGGTCTTCATATCAAATTGTACCTCAAGTTGTCACTTTATATTACCTTTTGTGAAGAAAAAATAAACCATTCATTCAAAAAAAATCTCTGAAACGATAGTGATGTGTTTTTAATTATCTAACAGTGCAACATCTTTCATTCAAATAAACAAAAAAACAAATGATATTCGAAAAGAGTACCAGTATACCGAGATGAGTATTTACTATGAAATATGAAGAAATATTTTTTATACCTGGTGAGTTTTCATATTTTATGTTTTCCATCGTCTTAAGTTCGTTCAAGTAAAATCGAACGGAATGTTGCACTAGTAAAATTGTATATTTTCCCCAAAAGAGCATTTAAAATTTTAACCTCCCATACTAATTTTAACTCCCATACGCAGAGTCGCGATTGGACCACAGCTCTCTGTCCCATTCGTGTTTCAACCGTGAAGCAGTTGTGTTTGCATGGCTGTGTTTCGGTTTGAAGTATGGAATATGGCGTGGATTTACAGGGTACAGAGGAATAATTGAGTCCTCAGGAATGGCAACGCATGTGGGGTATCATGGGCGAAACAGTATACTCTGTTATGTCCATGGTACTGCTCATGTCTATAGGCGACGGTTACCACTTTCCACTAGGTGAGCCGTCAGCTTGTTTGCCATTCTGAGTTGTATAAAAAAAAATTGCCGCTCTTTAATGGTTCGCAAAACTAGTCGAGCTTTCTCGACTAAATGACACATAAGTTAAACTGGTAGTGATTACATTAAAACATTCTAAATTGCTTAGTTTTTTTATCGTTTTTGGATGTAGATTTCAAAATACAATATATAAGGATTTATATATTTATTTACACAGATGCTATATCTGTGTTTATATTAAATTATGTAGTACTGATTACAGTAATTAAAAAGCTAGTAGTTAAAAAGCTACTAATCATTAGATTAGTAGCTTTTTAACTTAATTCAAAGAGAGTACTATATAACCAACAAACTGACATGCAGTTTGGTAAATTAATGTATCTAATATGTTAAGTGTATTTTGTGGATATATGAATTAAAAATAAACTTTTTTTTTTTTTTATACAACTTAGAATGGCAAACAAGCTGACGGCCCACCTGATGGAAAGTGGTAACCGTCGCCTATAGACATGAGCAGTACCATGGACATAACAGAGTATACTGTTTCGCCCATGATAACTCTCATGCGTTGCCATTCCTGTTTACTCAGGTGTTAGTTTCAATTGTAGAATGTGGTCTTAAAAAGTTTCTAATGGTTTCTATTTTACCCTGCAGACTTATCTGTGGTCCTTCCTCTGCCATACCTATTTTAACATCCATGATGCAGGGCTCCAGCATATTCTTCGTTAGGTCCTCCAGTATGATGTACTCTTGCTCGTGTCCATTGTATGTGACCTTCTTGCAGCCGTAGTACCTCGGCACAAAGTTCCTCATCTCCACCAGATCAGGCTCCGTGGCCGTGGCCAGCCGATTGTAGAATTCCACCTCGCGTTTTTGAGCTTCCTTGAGGATCGGCTTCAAAATTGTACCGTCGTTACATTGAAGTAGTCCTGACAAGATTTGACTTAAATGAGTATTTGTGTAGATTTTTTATGCAACTTAGAATGGCAAACAAGTTGCAAACAACTGATGAAATGTAGTTTTTTTTATTAAATGGATGATAATGGAATGGTAACCCCACCCGCGCTATCGGTATACACCGGCGGGGCACCAGTGAAGGATGATAGGTGAGGATGAAGTAGGTCAGTTAGCCAATCGTGACGAATTCAACAAGAATTGTTCACGATGGTTCCCAGGGGGAACCACGTGGAGGTCGACCTAATAAGGTATATTGCTAGCAATGGGGCTGTCAAACTCCATTGCTAAGTTACTAGTAACTAGTAACTGTCGCGTCTGGCACCAGAGAGGGATGATAGGTGAGGATGAAAAGGCAAGTTAGCCCATCGTGATGATTACACCTGGAATTCCAGCGGGGACCACGTAGAGATCGACCAGACAGTATATTGCTAGCAATGGGACCGATGATTATGATTGTTATTTAAACTTTTAAATATTATATAACTATATGTATATATGTATTTACATGTGTTCATATTGAATCTGCTACGCCTAATAACTTTTGTGTTCTCCGTTTGTATGTATTACCATAAAATGTTTCATGCCAGCGAGTGGTCCTGGTGCCTTGTGATACGGGTTCTTTGGATACCCAGTTCAGGCACCAGCTCTCTACAACTTTGATGTATCTATGGTATGATTTTAAATGTTTCATTGTACTCAAAAAAGTTGTGAGATAAATAAATAAATAAATAAATAAATATTAAAAATGGGAGTGGTAATCTTTAATAGTAACAAACTGTCCCCGTCTTTTTTATTTTTTATATTAGTTAATTATATAAAAAAAAAAACAGTTATTTCTTGAAATTATCACACGAAAATATTAAGTATTTTTTTTAAACTACTGAGGTGGCAAACAAGCATACGGCCCACCTGATGGTAAGCGGTTACCGTAGCCTATGAACGCCTGTAATACCAGAGGTATTACGCGCGCGTTGCTGACCCTGAAGAAACCTTTTTACTCCCCTTTTGAAGAACCCTAAGTTAAGAGAGAAATATATAAAATAGGCGTCTCAGAATCGATTATCGACCATATTACAAAAAATATATGGTACAAAAGGTGGACTTAATACTATATAGCATTCTCTCGCAGTCAACATTTGGCAAAACAAAAATGAAATTATGCCGTGAAAAATTGAAAATTGTTGATAAAGGTGCAATAACGTGTACGTATCCATATTTTTTTTTAAAGGATGTTAATGGAATGGTAACCCCGCCAACGCTATCGGTATACGCTGGTAGGGCACCAGTGAGGGATGACAGGTGAGGATGAAGCAGTTCAGTTAGCCTATCGTGACGAATCTAATAATAAATCAATCACGATAATTTCCAGGGGGAACCACGAGGAGGTCAACCTGACAGGGTATATTGCTAGCAATAGGGCTACTAATCCCCATTACTAACAATCCCTTCTACGCCCTACATATTCATATCTGCTTTACCTAAAAACTTGGTATCCTTGGTGGCCGTGTGACCAGCCACTTGTCGATCGTAAGCCTGTATCTCGCGGTGGGGCGGCATCCTGAACGGTCGGGTCACCACCTCCTCACGCTTCTCAATGTCGTAGTGCACCCCGTGAATGGAACGCTGCCTCCGCAGTTTACGGTGCTTTTTCTTGGGATCATTGCTCATTTAGTTGAGGGCCTGGTAAAAAAAAATATGAGATGAAATGAAATTGTAACACTGGTGGAGCACCAGTGAAGGATGATAGGTGAAGATGAAGCAGGCCAGTTGGCCTATCGTTATGGTAAGCATTAATCGTGACGGTTTCCGCATGGAATATGAAATGGTTACCCCACCCGCGCTATCGGTATACACCGGCGGGGCACCAGTGAACGATTTTTTTTTTATACAACTTAGAATGGCAAACAAGCTGACGGCCCACCTGATAAAAAGTGGTAACCGTCGCCTATAGACGTGAGAAGTACCATGGACATAACAGAGTATACTGTTTCGCCCATGATACCCCACATGCGTTGCCATACCTGAGGAATCAGGTGTTATTACTATGTACCTAGTAAATTCACGCCATATCCCACCCTTCAAACCGAAACACAGCCATGCAAACACAACTGCTTCATGGTAGAAACACGAATGGGACAGAGGTACCCAAGCAATCGACTTGTACAAAGTCTCCCTCTAGTAACGGTAGCCTTGTAACAAATTATAAGCACACTGTGGCTTACCTCAGACCTATTTCTTCACGCAAATCCTGGGTTTGATTCTCAATTGGATTAATAACAAGTGGAAACACTTAAGTAGTTTAGGTGAATTTATAATGAATGGGCAGTTCTGTGAAAACGTAACTTAATCCCATATCTACTAATTTTTCTCTAATAACAAGAGCGAGACAGAGAGATGAGAGGAGGGATCCTATCATATCTCAACAAATCTTGGCTCTGTATGTACCTCAGATGGTTTTATTTATTTATTCATTCATTAGTACATATATGTATGTGTACATGGCGGAATTAATGCTAAAAGCATTCTCTCCCAGTCAACCATAGGGAAGTGTCAGAATACTCGAATGCGGTACTACTAATTATTGATATACATACATACTAAAATTACATATATAAACGAATAAATATATACTCGTATATAAATAACAAATATACATACACATATGTATAAAATATACTATATTATACACGAAATTGAGAATAATGTTGCTGTCATTTCTCGTTTTGTTCTAACCTCATCTATGGTTTTGAACGACCACAAGACAGAAATCATCTCAGCCATTATCTGTCCACTGCTGAACATAGGCCTCCCCCATAGACCGCCATAAGGAACGGTCCTGAGCCACCTGCGTCCACTGATTCCATGCTACGCATTTGAGATCGTCACTCCATCTAGTGGGAGGTCAACCTACACTACGTTTGCCCGTACGGGGTCACCATTCCACTCAAGAATCTTCCCTATCGGTTGTCGGTTCTTCGAGCTATGAGACCAGTTAATTGCCACTTCAGCTAGCTTATCCTTCGGGTTATATCGGTTACTTTGATTCTTTTGCGGATATCCTCGTTTCGGATTTTATCATGAAAAGAGACTCCGAACATAGCCGTTTCTATAGCTCGCTGACCATGTATCGGTTCCATAAGTTTTTATTTAATGGGGTGATAATGGAATGGTAACCCCGCCCGCGCTATCGGTATACGCTGGCGGGGCACCAGTGACGATAGGTGAGAATGAAACAGATCTGTTTGTTAGCCCATCGTGACGAGTTCAACAAGAATTGTTCACGATGGTTTCCAGGTGGAACCGCGTGGAGGTCGACCTGATAGGGTACATTGCTAACAATGGGGCTGTCAAACTCCATTGCTAACAACCCCTCCCCCCCCTCCGGTTTATTACAAGACAGAAATAGGTAGCACTTATTTATTAATCATAATTTGCAACAAAACTTGTGATTGTATCACGAAATACGCTTAAGATAATGGCGGGAAATCGTTAAGGCCCAAAAACAATTAATCTACGACGAATAAAGTCACATACCTACGAACGTTATAGAATTAAACACAACACTTTGTTGATTTTTGTACCTTTGTAACAGCCGAGAAAATGAATAAGCTGTAATCTAGCTGCTTAGCAATAATACTAACTAAAACAGCGTGACTTTGGCAGTCATAACGGATCTATCTAATCGATAGACAAGATTGACAAAAACTTATCAATGTTTAACATTATTCGCGAAAGATAAAATAATATGACTGTATACGAGTTACGTACGTACGTTATATATATATATATATATATATATATATATATATATATATATATATATATATCTTTTATATATATATATATATATATATATATATATATATATATATATATATATATATATACAAAGTAATATTTTATTAAGAATTTCCCGTTAGATACTTCCTATTAACATTTTTTTTTAATGGGTGATAATGGAATGGCATCCCTACCCGCGCTATCGGTATACACCGGCAGGGCACCAGTGAAGGCATTGTCATTTATCACCTTATTTTAATGGTACCACTAAATATGGTAATGATATCGTCTTCACTGCGTAACTGTGGACCAGGCTACCTGCTGATATACGGATTAGTCCCTCCATTACTTCCTTCATAAGATTGAAATCTCACCTTTTAACTAATAATACATGATAAGACTATGCACTTATATATATATATATATATATATATATATATATATATATATATATATATATATATATATATATATATATATATATTTTTACCGGTACCTTTCCTGCACTAGATTAACCGTTAGCTAGATTTCTCTTTAACTACACTAGCTTGGTTGGAAGAAATCTCTTTTAGAGATAAGCCCTCCCTTGCTGTTCAAGTGCAATATATATATATATATATATACACACAACACATATTTTTCTTTGATAGGATGTTTAAATATTTAGGTTTCTTTAACTACCCCGTATGAATTTTGGCGTGAAGATAGTAGGTAAGTATTAGTAAAGAAATAAAAAATGATATAGATTGCAACTTATAATTTATTACATTGACAATAATTCAGATAAATTCAGATCTCAGGATCAACACTAGTCGTAATTTTTTTTTTCTTCTTTTTTTTTTAATATTACGTATTAGTGAAGGGAACCATGATAATTTGCTGTCAATTAATTTTTTTCTGTTTATCGTCGTATTTATAAAATCCCTCCCCACTTTTTCTCCCCAATTTGCCCTCGTTAACCAGTTTATTTAATAGTGGTATCGGTTTAAATACTGGATGGCCAGTTTTTTCGAGCATCACATTTAAAATAGCCACTTTTGTATCCAGTCCAGTGAAATCAGCCAATTCCAATGGTCCCATAGGTATTCCCAGGCCTAGTTTCAACGCCACATCGATATCTTGCGCAGACGCATCTCCTACAACAAATTTAATATAAATAAAACATTTAAAAACCCAACTGTATTTAAAAAAAAAAGTTATTTTTATCTATTCTACCGCTTTATCCATCGCGAACTTTTAATTGGGAGCACACAAGAAACTATTGCTCTTTTCAAACAAAAAAAATAACATTATAATTTTAAAAGTATGTGTTTATTCTATATTAAAGGAGTAAGATTAAAGTTATTGTTTTTTTTTTGTCTCGAAAAAGTAAACTTCAGTCAGCAAAAAATCTATTTGAGGCCTACACAGTCCATTTTTTCATTTAAGAATTACCTCTTGTCGGTGCAACTTATTCATGCATTCTCTTCCAGCCAGCTCTATTCCTGGCCATATCTTTGATCTTCCTATTCGACATGACACCTAGTGTTACCATTATTTATCGCAAAAGATTAAAACCGGTTCCTAATCTAAAAATTAATTAAAAAATAAATATGTACAAACTTCAAGACATTTTTTTTTAAATTCGGCTACTAGTTCCGGAGATTAGCGCGTTCAAACAAACAAACTCTTCCGGTGTATTAGTATATATTCGTAAAACTATGTAATCATGTAAGCGACAACATTATCAATTGATTTGCAAAAAGATAGTGAGATCAACTGATATGTGGATTGTAGGGGGCGTTAATAGCAATGTGGGTTGCCATTTTGTAAAAAGAAGCTTTATAAGGGTAAAAAATAAAGCAATATGGGGCTCGTTAATAGAATGTAGTTAAAGTGTGTTGTTTTTGTATGCAAATTAGAAAGAAACCAGAAAATTGCACATTGTTCATGTATTTATCCTGTAAACATTTATATATAAAAAAAAAATGCAAAGTTATAGAACCGTCAAAAATATTTTGTACAAGGATTTGTAAAAAAATATCTAATTTAATTCTAATAAAGACATTTGTATTACTTCTTAATAAGATTTACTATATTTATTATTTTTATAAATAGTGTAATAAAGTGTAAATATATAAATTACGATCTAAACGTCCAAGAATTGAAATAAAAATTATAAGAAATACATAAAGTTTTGCAATTTTTGCAGCTTAGAGTTCACATAAATTCAGACTTATCACATGCACACTTTTACAAAACACGAACACTAATGTTACCATTTTTTATTGTGTCTATGATTGTATAGCCAGCACAAAATATTTTGTATTCTGTATTGCCAGTTGTCAATAAGTAAGTATATCATACTATGTCTATGAGGAGGAAAAAGAGATTGTTAATAATGGGGATTGGTAGCCGCATTGCTAACAATACACCCCGTCAGATCGACCTTCTGTCTCCTTGCGGGTCTCTGGAAACAATGGTGTTCTATTCTAAGTGAATTCATCAAGATGGGCTAACTGGCCTGCCTTTTCATTCTTACCTATGTATATAGATCAGGAAAATTAAGTCCGGTAAATTGTATAATTTAATGGCAATACCAACATGGCGGCCGTAGCTCCAATATTTGCCACATGCTACAACACAAATGTCGCTACCATACCTAATTTACTCTGTCATATGATTTTTTATACTACATCTATGACATTACACTGTAGAAAAATGACAGGTATTTCCCTTTAATCTATGTAGTTGACACAACTTATAGATAAATTCGTCGGTATCACCCGCGTGATTACGAATAGCCGATAAAACTTGTTACCTTCAGCTGGCAACACATCACTCGCACGTTGCCCTCCAATGAGACATATTTGAATCACAGTACCCAGCACCGGCCTTAGGGTGGGCCCAGTTTAGTTGGGGAAGGGGAGACTGAGAGACGCCGAAGGATCCGTAAAAGATCGCGAACCCACGATATCTGTTTTTGGCATCAAGGAGGGAAATTTTGTTAGCTATGGGGCCGTTAGTCTCCGTTACTAACAATCCCTTTCTCCTCAAAGATAGACTTCATTGACCTTCGGTTTTCTTTGCCTCGTAAAGGGCTTGGCATGAAGATCCAATATAAGTCTAAGAATAATGTAAATGACCAGAGGGAGACTTTGTACAAAAGTCGTTTGCTTGGGCCCCCTGTCCCATTCGTGTTTTTACCGTGAAGCAGTTGTATTTGCATGGCTGTGTTTCAGTTTGGGATATGGCAGTGAATTTACATGGTACAGAGGAATAACACCTGAGTCCTCTGGAATGGCAACGCATGGGGGGTATCATGGGCGAAACAGTATACTCTGTTAAGTCCATGGTACTGCTCACGTCTATAGGCGACAGTTACCACTTTCCATCAGGTGGGCCGTCAGCTTGTTTGCCATTCTAAGTTGCATAAAAAAAAAATTAAATAATGAAGATAAAATTAAGTATAAGTTAAAACCTTAATACGGTCAAATAGTGAACGAAAATCAAACAAATTAAAAAAATAAAATAATATATTTAGAGCAATAACAAACTTATGTCATGGTTGTTAAATACAGAACAGGTTAATTTAATATTTAAATACAAATTTGGAAAAAAAAAACTCCAGTAATTCTTTTTTTTTATTGTATGTTACTCCTAAAAACTAATTCACATAGAGAGTTAATTTTCGTACAATTACGTTATTACTCGACTTATATCTGTAGGTACTTATACAAAATAAAAAAATATATTTAGGTAATTATTTATTTAAATACATAACTTTTTATTCATGCCACTTTATAATAAAATTATACTGTATAATTTATAACTGGTGTCACTTTATTGGAATATACATTTTTTTTTTAATTTTTTTTATTTTCATTTGCACTATTATAGGAGACAAGCGTGATAGATATGTATGTATGTATGTAAATCTGTATTTTTAATGTTAATTAATAGATTCTATACATGTGCCTTTATTCTATTTAAATGTTCTACGTAGTAATAAAGGAATATCGCAATAGGAGGGAACATTTACTATTTAAGGTTATACGACGAAGGCACAAGAAATGTTTTATTCGGCCCAAATTTGCTATACATCTTTGTACCTACACTTCTGTAGTAACTATAGTAATTATATTAAATGTAACGGTAATTTTCAAAGATTTAACGACCATAACCGTGGACAGGGAGTGGTGGAACAGTGGTGGGTGGGCGATGGGGAGGGGGGGGTTTGTTATAGACGCTGGAAAACTTTACTTAACACGGCCTCCCTTATTGTATTTATAGAAACCCTCGCCAGTCTTGATGCCAAGTTTCCCCTCAGCGACCATCTTGTCAAGCAGCGGTATTGGCTTGAAGACTGGATTCTTGGTCATCTCATACATAACCTGCATCACAAATCTGTTGGTGTCGAGGCCGGTGTAGTCCGCTAACTCGAAGGGACCCATGGGATAGCCGGCACCTAACTTCATTCCAATGTCAATATCCTCCTTCGATGCGTCGCCTGGAATGTGTTGCCATAAAAAAAGAAAAAATAAATCTTTAATAAAAAGTGTATAGACAATTAATAATCCGTTTTATATACTTGGCATATTTTGTACACAATTTTTTTTCGTATAACACAGAGAGTAACGAGCATGCGACTCACCAGATGGTAAGTGACTACCGCCGCCCATGATCACCCACAACACCAGCGGCATTGCAAGTGTGCTGCCGGCCTTTTAAACAGGAATATGCTCTTTTCTTGAAGGTTATATTTACTAGATTTTGTACAAAAAAACATCTACTTGTCAATATATTAATTCCATTCGTGTTTTTACCGTCAAGTAAACTTACAAATGAGACTATGTTTCAGTTTTTTTTTATACAACTTAGAATGGGAAACAAGCTGACGGCCCACCTGATGGAAAGTGGTAACCGTCGCCTATAGACATGAGCAGTACCATGAACATAACAGAGTATACTGTTTCGCCCATGCTACTTCCCATGCGTTGCCATTCCTGAGGACACAGGTGTTATTCCTCTGTACCCAGTAAATTCACGCCATATCCCACCCTTCAAACTGAAACACAGCCATGCAAACACAACTGCTTCACGGTTGAAACACGAATGGGACAGTGGTACCCAAGCAATCGACTTTTGTACAAAGTCTCCCTCTGGTAACGTTAAAATTATGTATCTTGTAATTTTTAGAAGTTACCTTAGTCATTGAAAATGGAAACACATTTGGGTTGCCATAAGGATCATGATGTCTATAGTATTATACTTGTCCATGGGAAATGCGACGGTGATCACTTTCCATAAGTCAAGCCATCAGCTTGTTTGTCATACCAGATTGTACAAAATTAGCATGTTTTTTATTTAAATTAATTTAATTCAGTTCTTTTAATGTAAAATAAATAAAATATAGTAATTGCAAATTATTTTTATATTAGTTAGTTTTTTTTTGTACCGTTATTAAAAAAAATCTAAAGTTTTACTAAAAAATGCCAAGTATAAAAAACAGATTAAAAATGTTTTCGACCCTTTAGATATAGGATTTGGCAAACAAATCTATTCATATATAAATATTTTCGCTACCGCACGCTTTAATAAGAACAAGACACCGGACATCTTATCTTTTTCTGTCTCATGTATACAGTAACGTAATCGTATACAAATAAATTCGTTTGACCTCCATATCCGTCGGGTCTGAATGCACTGTCGCAAATAAAAAAAAAAAAACAGGTGTTAAACACTTAACAAGTCAAATAATTAGTATTGTTAAATCTATGATAACAATATTAAGTAACAAGAAATACATTAAACGCTTAAACCTTCTTTGCATGATTTTTTTTTATTGGTGAAATAAATCAAGGTGATATAATTCATGTTCAAAATTAAAGGAAAAATGGTTAAAAAAAATAAATTTGACAGCTATGTTTTTTTTTTTTCTGTAATGGACATTAAAAAGGTATCTAGACACGATCAACTTAAAGTGATTTTGTTTCTTTTATATAATCTTTAGGCATTCAATGTTACGATGGAAATTTCCACCATTATGCAAAGAAGGGTTATAATGTAGTTTCACATTAGTTAGTAGCGTTATTTCGATATGGAATATTACACATATGAAAAACAATTCAAAATTGCAAACCCCACATTTCCTTTTAATCGCTCATATTTAAACACTGGGGAAATGGGGCAAATGGGATAGAGAATATATATATATATATATATATATAGATATATATATATATATATATATATATATATATATATATATATATATATATATTTTATACACATATATATATATATTTATACATATATATATATATATATATATATATATATATATATATATGTATAAAAATAAAAAAAAAACAATTCGTATTATAACAGTTTCATTCAAAATGAGTGTATGTGTGCGTGCGTCGCAACACCTGCAAAATGAAGTCCGTGCTCAGCATTATGCTATAGTGTCAGAGACACTGCAGCGCTGATTTTCAGCACGTGCCTCGCCAACCTACGGGCTCCTTATACTTGTTTACCATCTTCGTGGTATAACAAAAATTCCGAAGGGATTTTATAAACAAACGTCACAGTACGAATTATCTCATTTATTTATAGATATAAAGTCGTACTTAAAAATATCTGAAATTTAATCCATGGGTCGAAGTACACTGTATTGGAAACTGACCTTGTAATGTATAAAGATAAGATAGTGGTTGGGCAGTACAATGAGCAACAAGTGTAATGCATGTAGGATTGTTAGATAGTACATTTTTTAATAGATGAAAATGGTTGGTAGCCCCCCTGCGTTATCGGCATACGCTGACGGGGCACCAGTGATCAACGATAGGTGAGGAAACCAGGTCACTTGACTTATCGTGACGAATATACCAATAACTAAGCACGACGGTTTCTAGGAGGAACCGCGTGGAGGTCGACCTGATAGGATATATTGCTAGCAATGGGGCTGCTAGACTCCATTTTTTTTTTATACAACTTAGAAAGGCAAACAAGCTGACGGCCCACCTGATGGAAAGTGGTAACCGTCGCCTATAGACATGAGCAGTACCATGGACATAACAGAGTATACTGTTTCGCCCATGATACCCCCCATGCGTTGCCATTCCTAAGGACTCAGGTGTTATTCCTCTGTACCCAGTAAATTCACGCCATATCCCACCCTTCAAACCGAAACACAGCTATGCAAACAAAACCATTACTAACAATCCCTTCCCCCACTAGTTAGTATTACATATAGGCGTGGACAATATGGATACCGATCCTACATCTATATATTGGGTTTCTCTGGACAAAAATGGCGGAAAAAGGTCATCACCCACCTCGATATCGCCCGTATCGGTCGGATATCTATTTTCGAATATGTTAAAAGTCTGTTATCCAATATTATTTTTTGAATAACACACTTTTAACATATTCGTTATTGGACCAATATATAGTAACTAAAAAATATAGATATCGCTATATATTGCTTACTCTTAGTTAGTATATGGAGATATTTGATATAATATATGAAAGAAACATGTGACGAATTACGGAAATGGTTGAAACAATATACGAGGTTTGTCCGGAAAGTACGTATAAAAGTTTTTTAAAAATTTTATTTTACAATTATTCAGGTAAATCAATTTTATCCCCTTCAAAGTACTCCCCCTGTGACATAATGCACTTGTGCCAACGCCGTTTCCACTGTGAGAAGGCTCCTTGAAAGTCCTCTGGTTGTAGGTTTCTCAGCTGCCCCGTCGTAGCTTTTTTTATCTCATTTATGTCCCCCAAATGCCGCCCCCGAAGTACCAATTTGGTTTTTGGGAACAAGAAGAAGTCACACGGGGCCAAATCCGGCGAATAGGGGGTGTTCGGTCACCGTAATGGAATTTTTACTCAAAAACTCACGGAACGATCTTGGCGCAAATTTTTTTCATTTGAAGTTCGTTTCTTAGAATTTCGTGGACCACGGTTTTGCCCAAATTAAGCTCTTCAGCCACCTGTCTGACCGTTAAACGACGGTCCCCATTAACACAAGTTCGAATTCTTTCCACGTTTTCGTCGGAATGTGAAGTGGAAGGACGTCCTGAACGTGGGTCATCTTGAACGCTTTCTCGGCCCTCTCTGAATCTTTTTAGCCACTTGTGGACGGTTGGTTCCTTCACAGCATCATCCCCATAAACTGTTCTGAGATCGGCAAAAATTTCACGGCCATTCTTGCCGAGTTTCGAGAGAAACTTGATTACGACGCGCTGCTCTTCAACGGAAGCGGGCTCCATGCCGACGGGGTTTCGTTAAGAGGTAACTTCACAGATGGCGTGACAAGCCAGTTCGCACCGCACGGCGGTCAGACCAGAACTGAAGCATTGTTAGGGACATAAGGAAGGGGTCCTGCGCTTACCTGGCCTCCCCACTCCTCTTTCTCGCATTCCAGAACACTTTTATACGAACTTTCCGGACAGACCTCGTATATATATATATATATATATATATATATATATATATATATATATATATATATATATATATATATATATATATATATATATAAGACAATTGCAGCTTGTGACGTCACTATGCCTCTACCAAAATACATTTACGAGAGGGACACTAAGAAGGAATGATAAAATAAAAACTGTAAATCATATGGTTGCCTCCTTTCTTCTTATGCAAATATAATTAGTAAAAAGAGGACGAAAGATACTGCATCAGTTGCAATTTTTATCAATTCATAGCAGGCTAGTGTAGGTATAGAAAATGTTATACGGCCGTATAACCCTACCAAATTCAGATACAACCCGCTTGCATACTTTCCACATAAATTGTGTCGAATATATAATCTAGTAATGTAAAATTTGTCACTGACAAAATATACGTTGTTCAGAAGACGGTCACCACTTTCAATCAGGCGGGTCATCAGCTTGTCTGCATCGTCATCACTATCATATCAAACTTTAACGGTCCACTGGTAAACATAAGCCTCCCCTTGGGGGGTTGGCCAGTAGTTGCCACGCTTGGCAGGCGTATTGGCAACTACAGTTAGGCTTTATGGATGTTTTAAGAGGGACGCTGCTGTCCAACTTTCGCCTTCCCTTAGTCGCCGCTTACGATACCCACGGGAAAGGAAGAGGTGGCCTATGCTATACCGGGACCATACGGCTTGTCTGTATTATATATGTATGTATATTGATATATATTTTGGTAGAAACAACGATGAAGATACGCAACACAGTAATACGACACGAGAAAGGCGAAATAATATAACTTATAAAATACTTACAAATGTAAATAAAGAGAGTAGAAGCGTTGACACTAAATCACAAACTGTCACCGTCTTTAGGGTTCCGTACGTCCTAAGAGAAAAACGGAAGCCTTATAGGATCACTTCGTTGTCCGTCTGTCAAGTCCATTTTTCTTAAGAACGCGTAGAGGTATCAAGTTGAAATTAATATTATACACTCAGGTCTGCAATCTCTTAAAGCAGCGAAAAAATCAAGCTTCTAAATCGACGCAATCAAAAGATACGACCGTTTATGTACCATTTATATCGCATATTTTGACATTCGCAAAGGGAATCGAAACCAATAGCGTACTTGTCGTTGACCTAGAATCATGACATTTGGCGAGAAGCAACATCGTGTAGCACAAGTACAGGAAAAAAATTCCTAAAACCATAGTTATATTTGTAGTTGTTACACACAAAACAAATATGAACGTGTTGATTTTGTACGGAACCCTCGTTGCGCGAGTCCGACTCGGACTTGACCGGATTTTTTCATATTAAATCGACACCGTCGCTAATTGACCGGTGTAGAAACATTAGGAAATATTCTCTTACATTCACACCTATATTTCTTATTGTAAATAATTCAGAATATGAGAACTATGACTAGGTTTCGACGAGCACTGTTTTTTTTTTATTTTTTTTATGCAACTTAGAACAATTATTGTTCATTAATCACTTAATTTATTAATGGTTGCTGCGCAATTTCCAATGGAATTGTACAGCTTTGATTAAATGTATACTACGTAAATAAACTTTATGTGCGTGTATGTAAATTTATAAACATTAGTTCAGGGCCGTAGCTAGACTCAAGTTTAAGGTAGGCCGAAAGAACTTTTTAGTAGGGCAGAAGCCATTATTACTTAATTATGGCTTCAAAAAAGCGAATCTGTCTAATTTTCTTGGTGCCTTACTTTTTAAGGTAGGACATTGGGCATTTTAGGACCATCGCTCCTCAATCCCCCTCCAGCCCGCAAGAAACTCAACAGTTACTCTTTTAAATCACTGTTAACATTATGTGTATTTATTTAAATGTACTATGTCTAAAATTACATGGTTGTTAAAAGCCTGTGCGTGGTCGACTAACAACATGCACATTTGTCATTTAAATAATCGTTTAGTGCGTAATAGGCTTTGTTCAATAAGTGTTTTTAATAACAATTTTAGACTTATTAAAAGGCAGATCCAAAATATCCTTCGGTACCTTATTATAACATTTAATGCCCATTCCTATAAAAGACCTATTAACTTTTTCTAAACGATACTTTGGAACAGCAAGTTTGTATTTGTATCTAGTGTTAAAATTATTGAGATCGTTGGATCGCTGTTTATAAAAAAAAAAACAAAAAAAACAAAAAAAAAAAACAGCAAAATCCTGCGTATATACTATTAACTACGCTATAAAATACAGATTATAAATCGTAAAAAACAAAATGAACTAACCTCTTTCATACAGCCTCATGGCTTCAGCGCTGTAAGGTGCCAGGAGTCTGTTCACAACAAATCCAGGGGTATCCTTGCACGTGATGCACGTCTTGCCTACAGACTTCCCCCACTCCATCAAGGTTTGGTAGGTCGCGTCCGATATGTGATCACCCCTGATTACTTCCAGCAGCCTCATCACGGGCACTGGGTTGAAGAAATGGAGACCTCCATACCTGGTGGAGAAACGCTTTGAGTTGGATATTTCTCATATGGAAACTGAGCATTACGACTGAATTTATCGGGAGGAGAAGGGATTGTTAGTAAACCCTATCAAGTCGTCCTCCACGCGATGCCCCCTGGAAACCATTGTGATGTATTTATTGTTAAATTCGTCACAATGGTCCAACTGAGCTGCATCATCTTCGCCCATCGTCTCTTACTGGTGCCCCACCAGCGTATACCAATAGCACAAGCTGCGTTTCCATTCCGTTATCATCCATTAAAAACAGACTTGATTTATTAGCTATTCTCTCTTTAAGTATTTCACCAGATAAACTGAAAATTATTCCTAAAGAAATATAGGTCAAATGAACAAAAATCTCGAGTCTGCTGTGTGGTCCTGACATCGAATTTGCCATCTCTTTCTTTCCTGTGGGTGTCGTAAAAGGCGTGACAACTACTGGCAAAGCCCTCCTAATGGACATATCTTCGCTAAATGTAACCAAGTAATTTAATAATAATAATGACTTTTAGACACTGCCCGCATTGTACGCCGGTTTCTCTCCCTGGGGCCCTGAACCCCGGCCGACTGTGCTTCTGCCGGGGGTTAGTTTGCCATTTCCTCTCCTTAAGAGGGGAGATGTGAAATTTTTTAAAAAAATAAAATCATTTATTCAGCTACAAAACTTGATAATAGTAATGACAACTTTACACATTAAAATAATAATTCAGTGGTAGCAGCTGAAATGCACCCCACTCAGCTTAAGCAGCATGGTACTGCAGCGCTGATTTTCATGGGTTCACCACTCAATAGGTAGCATTCGAGAAGCAGGATTAAGTCTGTTATATATACACTATTTACTTATTTTTTAAAATGAAAGACTTCATTTTTATGTCAATCTAATACTAAACTACCATCAAAACTAAATGTTTACAAATATCGACTGGTTATCAAAAAGCACGTTTTTTTATACAACTTAGAATGGCAAACATGCTGATGGCCCACCTGATGGAAAGTGGTAACCGTCACCTATAGACATGAGCTGTACCATGGACATAACAGAGTATACTGTTTCGCCCATGATACCCCCCCATGCGTTGCCATTCCTGAGGACGCAGGTGTTATTCCTCTGTACCCTGTAAATTCACGCCATATCCCACCCTTCAAACCGAAACACAGCCATGCAAATACGAGTACGTTCATGATTAAAAATGTAAGAAGTGAAACTTGAAACACTTAAATACTGTGACTTGTTTACGATATCTAAAAAACTAAAAAAATACCTGTCTTTCCTTTTAATGCCAGCGCCGATTGCATTGATGCTTATTGAAGAAGTGTTGGTAGCTAATATCGTATGCTCTGGCGCCAACTGTAATGAAAACAAATTGATTCGTAGTATAACCACGAAAGAGATTTATCGAGCAAGAGTGAATGGAGATGTCGGTAGGGGCCGCTCTAGACGGACGTATGTTGACCAAATAGGCGATGTGCTGAAGAAGGGCCAAATTAAAAGTACACGTAACCGGCGAGCGTGTATGAAAAGATTGATGAATGTGGAAGAAGCGAAAGAGGTTTGTTTGAATCGAAGCATTTGGCGTTCCATTGTTTCTGTCTACCCTAATGGGAGACAGGCGTGACAGATATGTATGTATGTATGTATAACCACTGTGTAAAGAGCAAGAACAAGACAGAACAAGCCCTCTAGACAAGTGGCAAGCGAATCCGTCGATGGAATCGACATCGCTAGCGATTCCGTGAGACAGAATGAGATAGCAACGTTGAATGTCTCATTCCAACTCACGGACTCGCTAGCGATGTCGATTCCATCGATGAATTCGTTTGATACTTGTCCAGATGACCAGAACAGAATAGAATAGGATTTAATAAGTGCAGAAGCACTCACTAACTTAAATTAGTTTTCACAAATTAACGTAGTAGTGATAATTTCAACAATTGTTTTGTTAACTTTTCATTAAACTCCATTGAAACAAACTTACCTTCTTACTCGTTTAAAGTTCAGTAAAAATAAAGATTACATAGATATATTTACAGCGGCGGCCTTAGGGGGTGGCGAACAGGGCAATCGCCCGGGGCCTCGCTCTTGCAGGGGCCTCGCGTAACAACCCAAGCAAATTTTAAACCAGCCAGTGGCATTTTGTCTAGTGACAAGTTGCAAAAAGTTTCGGATTTAGGTATTTTAATCATAAATGAATAATCAGTATTACCAACACTAAAATATACAAGTAAAAAAAAAAAACATTTGTAATGAAAAAGTAAAATAAGACAGTTTTCTTGAGTCAGCGGAAGATTTCCAATAATTTAAAACTCAAATTTTATTTATTTATATAACTTTAACATTTCTCGTCAAACATGACAAATACCTAAATCAACCAACCAGAGACCTAGTCGCGTAACATACTTGTCATGAAGGACAAAGGGCCTCGCAAAGACCAACCGCCTGGAGACTCGCAATGGGTAAGGCCGCCGCTGTATATTTATAAATATAATTTATTACAACTAATGATAATAATTTACGGGGATAAATCTTAACGATATGGCTGTCATGTAATCAACGTTTAATTAGAGATCAGTCTAATTACCCACACTTGATAACAATCTATAGTATCGATTAATTTCCTACGACATAATACAGTACTTTGATCCCACGATTAATATACGATTCAATATATATATTATTAGATGTTTAATTTTTTATCACAATAAATTACTGTAGTAAGTATACATCTCATCAAATGAAGTCCTTTTTTTAATGAATGATAATTAAATGGTAACCCCGCCTGCGCTATCGGTATATACTGGAGAGGCACCAGTGAGGGATGATTGGTGAGAATAAAAAGGCAGGTCAGTTAGCCCATCGTGACTAATGATATATATAAAATGACAATGATAAATTAGTCACGATAGTTTCCAGGGGGAACCGCGTGGAGGTCGACCCTATAGGATATATTGATAGCAATAGAATGATGCTCATTAAAATTCATTGATTTCAATTGACTTCGGAAAAAAGACGGTTCTCAGTGCCCCTCCAGCGTATACCGTTAGCTTAGTATACCACGCTTGGCAGGCGTATTGGCAACCGCAGTTAGGCTTTAGAGATGTTTTAAGAGGGACGTTGCTGCCCGTCCCTCGCTGTTCCTTAGTCGCCTTTTACGACACTTACAGGAAAGTTTTTTTTAAATGGATGATAATGGAATGGTAACCCCGCCTGAGCTAACGGTATACACTGGCGGGGCACCAGTGAGAGGTGACAGGTGAGCATGAAAAGGCAGGGCAGTTAGCCCATCGTGACTAATTTATTAGTCACGATAGTATATTGACAGCAATGGGGACTAACCTCCCCATTACTAACAATCCCTTCCCTCCGAAAAGAAAGGGGTGGCCTATTCTATGCCGGGACCACACGTCCAATCATCATCCCATTAGACCTATCATCATATCAGCTGTTAACTGCCGGGGGTATATATATCAAAATACACATAATGTCTAATTAATTGATTAATTAACGTTATTAGATATTGCAACGGTCACTAATAATGTAAACAAGCGTCAAAGGTTAAAACCTAAGAACTGATTGAATTATAATTAAAAATCCGTAAGAAGCTGGGCTTTTTTTGTTGGGTGAAAATGTTATGGTAACCCCGCCTGCGCTAACGGGATACGCTGGCGGAGCACCAGTGAAGGGTGATAGATGAGAATGAAAACAGGTCAGTTAGCCCATCATGATGAATTCATCAGGAATTAACTATGATAGTTTCCAGGGGGAACCGCGAGGAGGTCGACCTGGTTGGGTATATTGCTAGCAATGCGATTCTCAGTCTTCATTACTAACAATCCCTTTCCCCCCAAGAAACTGGGCTAGGTCGCTAGTGGATACCTACATACCTACCTAATCCAAATAGATGGGGGGAAAGGGATTGTTAGTAATAGGGTCTAATTGACCCATTGCTAGGGTTTTTTAATAGATGATAATGGAATGGTAACTCCACCCGCGCTATCGGTATACACTGGCGGGGCACTAGTGAAGGATGATAGGTCACGATGGGCTAACTGACTTGCCTTTTCATCCTCACCAATCATTCCTCGCTGCTCCAAAAAAAAGTCCAAATAGATAATGGCTTTTTATTAAATTGCGTGGTTTTTTTTATACCACAAAGCTGGCAAATAAGCATATAGCCTGTCTGATGGTAAACAATCACTGTAGCCTATGGTATGGACGCCTGCAACACTAGGGGTGTTACGTGCGCGTTGCTGACCATCAATAAACCTTAATATACCCTTTTTAAAAAACCTCATACTGTATTTTCTAAACCCCGCCAGTGGGAGAAAAACTCCCTTTATGGGAAAGGCTTATGTTAAGAAGTGGACAGGTAAGAGGTGATATAATGATATATTGTATTTGGGATAGAAGGCATAGACTGAATACTTTTTAATATAAGACATAGACTAAATACTTTTTAATATTTTTAACTGGCTACTTTTATTATTTTTACTGACTGTCAGTTGGCGATGGTTTCCAGGGGAACCACGTGGAGGTCGACCAGATACAATGTATTGATAGTAATGGGTCAGTTAGATCCCATTACTAACGATCCCTTTCCCCCATATAAATATATTATACCCACTCAAACATGTGCTTGGCCCATTTCTTTCTTATATTTTCCCCTGCCTACCTCACAAGAAATTAGCGTGGCTTGAAGGTAGATAAATAATATTTTTTTATGTGTAAAACAAAGTGCCTTTGTACACTTCGTATGATATTGTTATACTTATTTAACTGCTTATCTTTATTATATAACTTCATATCTTAGCTTCGTATTTACTAGATACACTTATCAACAAATATGGGCCATAAATATTACCAATCTACTGCAGTATTAGATTAAACAATTCTATAAACATTAACATTATGCCAACTAGCCTGCCATGTGTGGCAACTATTGGTAAAACCCCACTATATATGTATGTATGTATGCAGACTATATTGAAATGTCTTCCATAGTTATAACCATAGATAAAATAATAATGAAAATTTAAAAATAATTAACAAATAAAACCAGTATCTAATTAATTGTATTACACTTTTATACTAGGTCTAATTTATAATGGGGCAAAATAATAACTGGAATTTATAAAAATATAAATTCCATGAAAATTAAGTCACAGGCAAAGCTAGTAATTTGTACAAATAAAAGGAGGGAATATCGCTGGTGTTCTATTGTACTACTTAATTTCATGTTTGCCACCTTATGCTTTAAAAAAAATTAAAGCAAAATGCCCATACCTATATTTAAATTAAAAACTTTAAGTAGATAAGTATCCAATTAAAAAATCTAAATTTTAAAAATAGAATTTAGATTTTTGTTTCATTTTTTCTTTACAATTCAAATTTAGAATATGTAATATTAATATTATATAGCATGTTAGGATAAGCTAAAAACGAAAAATAAAAACTTACCTGATCAAGTTTATTGAAAAGTTGTTGTTTCACATCTAACTTCTCAACAATTGCTTCAATTATCAAATCAGCATTGACAGCATCTTCAACTTTAGTGGACGTTTTAATTCTGGACGCTGCATCTTTTACAAAATTCTCAATTTTTGCCGCATCATCCTTGAAAGTCTTCTTGGCAACCCTTGTTAAATTATTTTGTATGGATTTTTGTGCTTTCTCGAGCAATTCAGGTTGTAAGTCCACTATGGTTACATTTTGACCCGCTTGAGCTGTAACCTAAGTATACAAATACAATTAATACATAAAAAATTCAAGTACTTATTTACTTAAAATATAAAGTTAGTACATGTTTCAAAAAATATCATTTAATGAAGGAAATAAAAGCAGACATTCATTACTTACCCATTCCTAACAAGTTCAAGTTCCAATAAAACTCATTATAATATGCATAAGTATTTAATATTCAAAAAAGAGCAAAATAACAAATATCCCAACATACCTGAGCAATTCCTGAACCCATAAGCCCCCCACCAATCACTGTCACCGTTTTAATTACATTTAACGGGGAAGAACTGGAGAAATTCCTTGTGAAAATAGCTAATTTATTCATTTTATAATTTTATCGCGGCTCGTGTTCGCACGAAGAGAAAGTCCGTGGTGAAGTGGCGAGTAACGCCTGTTTAGTTTGCGCGCCGGCGAATCCGCGACGTAAACATGTAAGTTATTTATTCATTTGATAATAAATGGATCCTACTTCACGCGTACCAATGTCAGCTTACTGATAAGAAGGGGCATAAGTATAAAATATCATTAGAGACATTCATAATCAAGGTACTAGACCTAAGTACATGTCCATAATAGTTTATAATATCTATCACAGATAAAAATATGTACTCATTATACTTACATGTAACAGGTGAATTTTGATGATATAACAGTATTACACAGCACATTTTGATAAGGATATCACAAAATTCTTAATTAAATACCTTAAAAAAGTAATACAAATAATACAAGTAATACAAATGATAAGGACTTTATCAGTTCTTATCAGTTTTACAAAGTATTTTTTTATCAAACTTTTGATAACTGTCAGTTTTGGATTGCAGTTTCTAATAGAGACATACAATCGACTAGGTATAATCGATTGAACCATTTGAATTGATTGATATCGATCATTTACAGATATTTTTAAACAGAATAAATTCGAATATTTTACTTCAGTTCAATCATTAATTAATTAATGGTCGCGTACAACGCGGTTTCAGAGATGTTTTCTCCCACGAACACTCAGGTTATGAAATGAGCTCCCTGCCGAGGTTTTCCGAAGAGACTACAGCATGGGGTTCTTCAAAAGGGAGGTAAAGAGGTTTCTTCAGGGTTGGCAACGCGCGCGTAATACCTCTGGTATTGCAGGCCTTCATAGGCTACGGTAACCGCTTACCATCAGGTGGACTGTATGCTTGTTTGCCACCTCAGTGGTATAAAAAAGATATATTGATTTTGTTATATAAATTCAATTAATAAAATTTTTAATTTGACATATAGAGCATATTTCTTGCAAAAGGCTGATAATACACCTGTGACGGCGGCAGTATTTATTTACTATCAAATGAAATGCATAAGCCTATAAAGAGAATATATAAATAAAAATTAACCGCTCAAAATGTTCTTTTGTGCAAAATTCAAGAACAGCCGGATTCGTTATATTACTATGGTTTTGGAATAAACCGACTTTTTTTTAATAATCATTAAGATACTATTTTTTTTATTTTGATTTTCCTTTTTATTACATACACATTAGAGAAATCGATTAGTAAATAATTACATATTATCGAATATTATATCGATTATAAACACTATCGAACATTTCTATTTAGTTAATCACAACTCGGGTGTCGTGTCGCTATGATTATCGCTTCGATCCAATATTGCTAATTTAGCATTTTTGGGATTGGATTTTGCTTTTTTCGCCTTATCTAATACATTGTATTTTCGTTTAGCTCCTAAGCTCAAACTTACTCCAAATCTAGATCAATTTAAATAATAGTAAAAAGTTTACTTTAAGTTTAAAAAGAGTCGTTAATTACTACTTAAAATGAGAAAATTCTCTTCTGGCGAATATCCAAAATCTTTCAATATAATATCAATTTTTTTATAAAGTTTATTCAAGAAATTTTATACAGGTTTCTTAATTTTATTTAGCAATCGTGGGACAAATTTGGCCAATTTTTTATTTTAATTTAGCCCGATTATCTGATATTACATTGGCTACACTACCGGTTGCACTTTGGATCTTGGAATTTGGGATTTATTTTTCTGTCATTTTGTTGCGATTCTTTGTCGAATTTATTAACTTAAACTTTTAAAAATTTTTTTAAGGATACCTATTCTTTTATAATGAATCAATTTGGAATAATAGTGAGAAACTTTTCATGCTCAAGCGCGGTACAAGGTGCAATAAAAAATGTTACCGTAATTGGGGGTGGTCTAATGGGTTCGGGAATTGCCCAGGTAAATTTTAAAAACGTAAATCCTATCTTCAAGCCAAGTTATTTGAAATGGCGACAGAGAGAACCGGATGCTAATATAAACTATATTAGCATCCGGTTCATACATGTTAAACTTTTTTTCATTTCATAAATAGCATACTTTTACTTAGCTGACGCTATTTTATTTTCTACTGAATTAAATAAATATTTTGTATACAATTGTAATCACATTGAAATCATCACCTCAATATCATTACTAAAAGAATGATGTTTCGTCTAATACCATGGACATTTCTGAATATACAGTGCTGCCCATGTCACCTCTCAAGTATTGTCCTGTGGATAACAGTGTATCATGATGTATGATCTCTATGAGATCGTCATTACATTCTATCAGGTAGATCATTAGCATATTTATCATTTTAAATCTTATACTTATCCATGGTCATCACAGTATATTCGGTGATATCTATTCTGCTGGTCAAGTCTATAGATGAATGATATCAGTTTCTATCAGTTGTAATTTTTTTTTATGTGTATTTGATGGTATAGCAGTATATTAAACTGCCTTATCTTTCTATGTTGTTCTGAATGTTTTTTTTTTATAATATGTATTTAAATGTCTTAAAAAGTATTATTATTATTACATTCATTGTACAGGTGAGTGCCCAGGTGGGTCAGAATGTGACCCTGGTGGATGTGAGCAGTGACGTGCTGGCTAAAGCCCAAAAGTCCATCGGCAACAACCTTGGCCGAGTTGCAAAGAAATTATACAAGGACAAACCTCAAGAGGGTGAGAAGTTTGTGTCCGAGTCCTTAGCGAGGATCAAGACTTCCACTGATCCAGTCGAAGCTTCGAAAACATCTGATCTGGTTGTGGAAGCTATTGTTGAAAATATTGATGTGAAGCATAAACTTTTTAAGCAGTTGGATGAGGTTAGTTTTGTTATTTTTATTTAAAAAGGCAAAGGTTTAATTTAAAACGATTATGTAATGTTAGTTAATTTTTTTTATGGCAAATACTTATAAACATCTATGAATATAACATATATGAATACAACATGCTGTGCCAAGTAATTACTTTTTATACTAAGATGGCAACACTTTCGAGTTTTGCAAATTTTTTTTATAATATTGACAAAGGACTAGTGTTACTCATTATGAAAATGTTCTTAAATTGTTTAAAGCTTTTTATTTGAAAGGAAATTAAATATTGTTTTACTTTTTCGCCTACAAATTTAAAAAATAATATCTTATAATGTCTTATAATATAATATCTTTAACAGGCTGCTCCGAATCATACAATCTTTGCATCCAACACATCTTCATTATCAATAAATGAAATTGCCTCTGTTGTGAAAAGGAAAGACAGGTAAGAGAACATTTCCTTGTATATTACAAAATTCAATTTAAATAATAATAAAAAAAAATCACTTTATAAAAAAATTCTATTTAAAAAAAGTTTGGCATTTTGAATAAACAGTTTTTTTTTTAATATTTTTATAGTAAGATCATTTATCTTTAATTATATACAATTACTAAATTTGTATCCATATTTTTCTAAATAAGTTTAATTAAAGTTGACAATATAGTATTTTTATTGTTAAAAGTTACGTAAGCACACATTATATTTTAATGTACACTAATACTTCGCGGCGCTCGCGTCACAGCCGCTCATGATTAAGGATCACGAATTGATCCCAATACTAGTCAAGCTTTCTCGATCTAATTACATATAAGTTAAACCGGTAGTTAAAAAAAATAGAGTATTTATTTTATTTAAAAAATATTGCAATGGATGCAAACGACTCAGGTACCTACACTTTGTTATTTGCAGTGAATTATGAATGAATTAAAATTTATTTGATTAAAAGTAATCTTTTATTTTCTTTGTCAAAATATGACAATGAATAATATATTACGATAAGTTGAACCGATAGAAGTAACAAACTCACATACAAATTTACATTCAGAACAATCCCAATTCGTTATGTCCTCAATCAGATTTGGCGGTCTACATTTCTTCAACCCGGTACCTGTTATGAAGCTTTTGGAAGTAATCAAAGGCGCGGAGACCTCTGAAGCGACCTTCAACGCCATGATGGAGTGGGGCAAGGAAGTGGGCAAGACGTGCGTCACCTGCAAGGACACCCCCGGGTTTATTGTCAACAGGCTGCTGGTGCCGTACCTTTGTGAAGCTATCAGGCTGTATGAGAGAGGTCAGTATAGTTTGGGTTGAGTAAGTTACATAGTTAAGGGACAGTCCATCAATATGCATAGGTGTCAGAGGTCAGTCCCTTTAGTAACGACTAGCGGCCCGTCCCGGCTTCGCACGGGTAGATATTTTTACATTTTAAAAAGTGATTATTGTGACATAACGATAATAGTTGGACATATAGTATCGCGAAGTTTTTTGTACTTATTGATATTTTCTTCAATATTGTAGAACATACTTTTGTCCTATCGCCAATAGTTTCCGCAGCGCACGCGACGAAAGATATTTTATAGCATTTCTTTACACCTTGAGTTACGTTACTAAAGTTTTAGTAAGGATCCTTAATCTTTTCTAGCAAAAAATATAGCCTATGTTACTCAGGATGAATGTAGCTTTCTAATGGTGAATGAATTTATGAAATCGGCAAAGTAGTTTTTGAGTTTATTCATTACAAACATATGTACACACAAAAATACAAATGTTTCCTCTTTATAATATTAGTGTAGATTCCTTAAGCGACGGCCCATCAATATGCATGGATGTGGGGAAAAAGGGATTGCTAGTAATGGGGACTAAGAATCCCATTGCTAGCAATATATCCAACCAGGTCGACCTCCTCGCGGTTCCCCCTGGAAACTATCATGGTTAATTCCTGATGAATTCATCATGATGGGCTAACTGGCCTGTTTTCATTCTCATCAATCACCCTTCACTGGTGCTCCGCCAGCGTATCCCGTTAGCGCAGGCGGGGTTACCACTCCATTTTCATCCAATGAAAAAAAATATGCATGGGTGCCATTGTATATTGTGTGATGGTGTTATGCTGTTTCCATTCATGGCCACCATTGTTTTTTAATTTATATGATAAATCCAAGGTTGACTGAATTAAATCCCTTTAAGGGATAAGGCCGTTTGTATTCATCTTTGTTATAACCTAATTTCTATATTATAAATAAATGTACATAAACATATAAATAAATAAATGAAATAAATCCAGTGTTACCCTATTTCATATAACTTATTATATAATAATACAACAAAGACTCACATTTACATACTAGTTACATCCCGCGGCTCCATCCGCTTGAATTAGTACATACAGTATCTCATGTATTAAATTAGGATATAAACTATCCTTGTACCAAGTTTCATTCAAACCCGTTTAGTAGTTATAGCGTGAAAGAGTAACAAACATTCATCCATCCATCGTTACAACTTCCGTATTTATTATCCTAATAAGGTATTAAAAAAAACATTACACATTAGGTGAAACTGCTTTAACAGATAGCTAATATCCTTTTAGACAAAAAAAAAGTTTTTTTAAACTACAACTGACGGAGTTATGAGGTAACAAATATTTAAAAAAAAACATACAACCGAAATGCAAACCTTCTTCTTTTAAGTCGGTTAAAAGTCTTAATCACTAAATTGCCAATGATAGTGTTTTTGTAATAATTACGTACTTATATCGATTTTTATTTATAACATCAAAATTTTACAGGAGACGCGTCAGCTAGGGACATCGATATTGCCATGAAATTGGGCGCCGGCTATCCCATGGGTCCGCTGGAGTTGGCCGACTACGTCGGTCTGGACACCAACAAGTTCATTTTAGACGGCTGGCACAAGAAGTTCCCTGATCAGCCCCTCTTCAAGCCAATCCCCTTACTGAACAAACTAGTGGCCGAAGGAAAGCTCGGTATCAAAACTGGCGAAGGGTTCTACAAGTATGATAAGAAATAAATGTATTTTTAATATATTATAAATATTTTTTGTAACGAATGTTGAATGTATTATATACCTCTTTCTACCCCATAAGAGACCAGGCGTGAGTTTGGATAGTTAGATATTTTTTGATTGTTTACGTAGTGTTTATAAGAGAGATATTGTTATACTTTATTAATATAATAATATATTAATAATAAAAGCTGAATCCTATTCATTTTGTTTTATTTTTATAACTACTTTTAATTTTAAATTTATTGTTAATGACAATTTCGTAATTACGTGCTCGGCCTGTTCGAGCAGGCGTTTCCTTTTTTATTATTGTCCTACCGTCCACTGTTGTATTTCTAGTACGGTGCCATCTTGTTTTTACTTGGACAGTTGTAACGCCAGCTAGAACATTATTGTTAATATTTATATCAAATAAAACGCACTTATCAACTAAAATCAGTTTATTCTAAAATAAATTCCATTGAGTCCACGACGAAACATTTGTACTTACTACTAATTGTATAAAGAGGAAAGATTTTTTTCTATTATTTCATGCTCTTTTCTTGAAGGTTATGTTGTCGTATCGGTTCGGGAATACCGCTGCTGGTAGTTGATTCCAAAGCGTGGTTGTGCATGGAAGAAAGTACCTTGAATATATATATAGCCTGATATTAAGATTGATGCTATCGAGATGTGGTGCTGGCGAAGGATGCTGTGAATTCCCTGGACAGCAAAGCGCACGAATATATCTATCCTGACGCAACTCCGCATAAAAGATAGGCTCTCGACAGTCTGCTATCGGAGGATTCTTGGATACTTCGGTCATGTTGCTCGACGACAGTCCGGTAATCTGGACAAACTAATGGTTGTAGGAAAGATAGAGGGAAAACCACGCGGACGATCGCCTAATCGCGTAACCTTTTATAGATGAAAGAATTTTTAAAATCCGTCGAGTAGTTTTTAGCCATTATAAATAAATTAACAAAAAATAAAGTCAAAAACTAAAGCTCCATCCCAACCATCTGGATGAGTGGCGGTCCTCCACCGAGCGTTTTTCAAGATACTTTCTTCCACGCACAACCATTCTTTGGAATCAACTTCCAGCAGCAGTATTCCAGAATCGATACGACATCATAACCTTCAAGAAACGAGCATACAATATATGTGCGACACCAGGCTGAAGGACTAGTAGTAGCTATTTTTATTGGAACCATCATCCATTATTAGAGATGTCTTTCTACTGACCTCATCAACCGTCATTTCTGGGTCCTGTTACATATAATATGCTTTTCCGCTAGCCCTCTTATTGTTGGTAGCCCTCCCCCCCTGTTATTGGACTTGTAGGCATGGTTTGAATACAAGTCCAACTGATAATTCAACATAGAAGCATTTAAAAATGCTTCCATTTTTTTTTATTGATTTTGATTAAGCTACTTGTATATTATCAAAGAAGATACGATTACAAAATATCGACCAGTTCAGAACTACTTATTAAAACATTGGACAGGATATATAAAGGAATCCTGGGGGATGTGCTAATATACCCCCGAGTGGTAGGGTGTGCACGCCATCCACCCTATCTTGTGAGAGGAGACTTGCTCTTACCATCAGGAGGCGGGTCGCTGCCGTCGGAGATGTGATGAGTGCGAAAGCGAACCCATGTCTCCGACATATGGCACCTCGAGGGTATGGGTATCGTCTGGTTTTTGGTGGGTATACTCTCACCTTACGGGGGGGATTCCCACAGTACCCATTCACCTCCCACGAGGTGTATGGGTCTACAGAAAGCATTTTCCAGACGTTAAAAAAAAGGATATATAAAGGATACCAATAGTAAAGTAATAATAAAATATATTTAATAATTTGCAAATGACAAAGTCCATTTTAATAATACAAAGCTATACACACACTTGTGTGGAGACATGGTATAAGCCTTGAAAGGCATATATTAGATAAAGTCTTCGACTTTATGACTTTACGGCCAGTGCACGATCAAGTTACTTTTGCGCTCCGGACAAAAAAATAATTTGCCGCCATTTACAATAGATGACAGTGTTAACTCAAAATAAAATAATTTAGCAATACTGAAGATCCTTCTTTGCTTACTAAAGTAGTTATGTAATTTTTCCTATTTCAAATACAAGTACAGGTGAATAATAAAAATATAATTTAAAAAAATTCATTATATGACATCTAATATAAGAAAGAGGTGAACGAGGCAAAGTTGAGGGTGTCTGACTATTGAAAAGTTAACTTTTGCCTGGTGCGTCAAAATAGCTAGATTGGGCACTGTTAATTAAAACTTAATTGTTTTTTTTTTTTTTACATTAATTATAATTACAACCTGTTTCTAAAGATTACATAAAAATGTAAACAAGTTTTGTTAAAATTATCACAGAAATATTTTCTAAATGAAATTAGTAACAAAATGGAATATTTAGTTAGATTAATTTACTTTTCATTGCTACTATTTAACATCAGCAGACTGTCTTATCGTCAGGCTAATTTCATTATTAATTTGTTTACATTTTTATTGAACTGTATTGAAACAAACTATAAGATAATTATGTCAAGCATACAGTGGTATCAAAAATGGTGTTGGTATAATTTACAAAATGGGTATAATTTACAAAACTTATTCAGAAAAAAAACCTTATATTTACAATAAATCATAGTCGTCGTCCTCTCGTTTCCGTTTTTGAACCGATTGCTCATCCACCTCCATTTTGACGGGCGCTTGCGAGGAGGGGCCCGCGGTGACGCGGACAGCAGGCTTGGCTATCACCTAATTAGAAAAAAAATAGTGCATTTACTATATGTTTACTTCAGGACAAAAAGAGTTTTACCATTTAAACATATTTAATATATAAAAATCTTGTATCACATTAATCTCTGAAAGTGCTTAACTAATTTCAGTTAAATTTTGGAAATGTGTATTGTATGCTTTAACTCGAGAGATTACTTTTTATGCAAATAAGAAAAATAGATGGCAGTATTTTTTAATGGGTGAAAATGAAAATGTAGGCAGGCATAGATGATAAGTGAAGATGGAAGCAGATCAGTTAGCCCATTGTGAATAATTAACCATGATGGTTTCCAAATGGTACTATGTGGAGGTCAATCTGGCGAACACTGGAGTTGTGGGGGAGAGGCATTGTTAGTAATGGGGATATTAATTCTTATTGCTAGCAATATATCTTCTGTCAAGTCGACCTCCTCATAGTCTCCCCTGGAAACTATCATTTAGAATTTCAGGTGTATTCATAACAATGGACTAACTGACCTACTGATGGACGAACTGGCCTTTTCCTTCTCACCTAACATCCCTAAGTGTATATCGTTAGTGCAGGGGGAGAGGTCGCCATTCCATTATCTATTAAAAAAAAAAAAACACTGGGGTTGTTAGACTCATTACTAACAATCCTTCCCCCCCTAGAAGATAGCAATTGGGTGTAAAATGTTTGCCAAGACAGTTGGTATTAAAATAAATTCCACTCACCTTAGTACTAGAAGTGAATTTGAGAACAGGTTTAGGTACAACGTTGGGCTTTGATGCATTCACAATGGCTCCCGGTGGTCTCTTCACAACCACATTCTGTTGGCCGGGAGTGGGCTTTGAACTTGTTACTGTTTTGATTGTTGGTGTTGCCACTATGGTTGTTTTTGCTACTGCTTTCTTTGTTGCCGGCTTGAGTCTGTAGTTGACTCCCGATAAACAGTATCTGGAATTAAGATTTATTTATTTTATTTATTTATTTCAAGTAAACAGTTACATAAATAGTATATATTTTTAGTGCTGCGAAACTGCATTGCAGTTTGTCTGCAGCTTTGCACTCTTGTACATATAGCTTTTTAAACAATTATAAACTTATATCCTAATTCTATATACTAAACTTATATCTTTATACATACATATACACAGATATGCATATATACACATACAGACACACATGCATATACTAATCTATTATATTAATCCAAAGGTTGTCCTGGAAGAGATTGCTTAGCTATAAGGCCGCCTTTTGTATCACTTCTCCTTAATATTTAGTGTATTTGTTATTTTTCTTTTTACTTGGTGTAAAAATGTGTAAATAAATATAAATATATAAATACTGTTATTATTTCTATTGTACACAAAAAATACAAGGTGGGGTTACCATTCCATTATCAGCCATAAAAACTCATATATTTACCTTAGTTATTAACCTAGTAATATAACTTTATTTTCACTTCAACCTTACAATACTTAGCCATATAAATATAATAGTGTAATAACATTCTTATATAAAATCTATCAGTAACTTTGAGTTACAGAACTACAGTTATACTTTTTACTAGATAGAGAAACTAAAGGGACTCACAACCCCAAGCATATATAGAAAGAAACTAGTATGGTCAAATGAGGTGTTATAAATATCTTGGTTTAATACTTGATAGAGGACTCATATGAAAAACGCATGTGGATGGGACTGTTAAAAAGATACTAAGAGTCCTGGCTATGTGCAGTATGTGCAGATCTGCATATGTTAAGGCATGGGGATGAAAACCCAAATAATGAGGTGGATCTACAGAATGATGGTGAAACCTATTTTAACATCTGGAAGCATCATCTGGTGGCCTAGAACTAAGATAGTAACATGCAGAAATACACTTAGTAAAGTACAGAGAACAATAAAGCATAACTGGAAATGAGTTGATGAGAAAGGCATCAGAATCAAAAATGATAGGTCCTGGGCCATACATTGCACTTGCATCAAGTGCTTGCACTTTAAAGGGTCTAAGGCGCACTAAAAAGTTTTAAAAGACAATGCTGATGGGTGGGATAAACTCATCTACAGCGGTGGCAGACAACAGGTAAGACTCATTATGGGTGCCCTAGCTGGACATATGCTAGTAAGGCATATACTATACAAGATAGGTCTATCTTCAGACACTGTGCAGACTGTGGTGAAAAATAGGAATCCATGGAACACTCTATGTGCAACTGCGATTAATTGGCAAATATGTGTATGAATCTACTGGGAACTGCTTATCCAGAGCCAGGGGACTACTTGATACTTTAAACCGCGGGATATCATTAAGGTAACACACAGGATCTACAAAATGATGTTATAAAGCAGGAGGAAGCACAAAAGATCCTGATGGGCTGACGTGCATCAGCTCAGCTGATATGCAATATGATTGAAGGGTGGGATATGGCGTGAATTTACTGGGTACAGAGGAATAACACCTGAGTCCTCAGGAATGGCAACGCATGGGGGGGTATCATGGGCGAAACAGTATACTCTGTTGTCCATGCTACTGCTCACGTCTATAGGCGACGGTTACCACTTTCCATCAGGTGGGCCGTCAGCTTGTTTGCCATTCTAAGTTGTATAAAAAAAAAAAAGACCAGTAACTTCTTATCATTAACTTAACATTTTTGTCAAGAAAAACAAGAATGTTTCTAATTCAAGTTCACTTAATTATAAGTGTTTTTGTATAGACATTAAATATCCTCACTAATATTATAAATGTGAAAAGTGAGTTTGTTTGTTATCTTATAGCACCTTAACCAATCACAATATTTTTATTTTTTAATGGATGATAACTTGAATGGTAAACCTGCTTGTGCTATCAGGATACACTAGCGGGCACCAGTGAGGGATGTCAGGTGAGGATAAAAACCAATCACTATTACATTTGGTATGTATGGACTATATGGGTTGGAGAAAAACATAGGCTACTTTTGGTTCCAGTCAATGACAAAGTCCCCCACTGGCATAGGCTGGTGCCTCACCAACATATACCAATAACACAGGTGGGGGTTACCATTCCATTGTCACTCATTAAAAAAATAAAAGTATAATCATTAAGAGTTTCACAATACTTTGTGTATATAATATGTAAGTCGTTAACTTCTGTTTGTTTAGCATTGTAAAAATTGGCCACAGGTTTACTTACCTATCAGGAGGTAATCTCAAACCACAATGTGGCCTAATTAAAGGCAATGGGTTCACATTCTTCACTCTAGCAATTTCTAGAAGCACTTCACGTTGCGGAGGACTGGTGAAAGTCTTGTCTAATTGCATCTGTACCGCTAACCTAACATCATCCAAGTCTATGGTCTTTTTCTTGGCGTGGTTGGCGAAAACACGTGCGTCATCCAAAATTGAGGTCACGTAGCGATACGTGAACTCCAGGAGTTGATTTACAACCCTCGGCTCGTAGTCTGTGACTCCAACTTCTTTCATAATGGACATGATAACTTGAGCATCTTTAGGTACATGTTTTGTTTGGGTGTTGGATTTTGATTTATCTTTCTCCGACATATTTACTATAGTGTATTCAGTTCCACATTCACAGACACTAGATATCTGTTAATAAAATTAACCAATAGTCATCAATAAATAAACAGTATTTAGATTAATAATAACTAAAAGAATTCGTCGCGTCGTCTACAAACAGATTAGACAGATAATACAAAATGTATTTCTGTCGTGCTGTCATTTCATGCAATTTATCTGTCAGTATAATTTTTCAGTCTATGTCAGTCAAAGATTTTCTAAGGTGTCAATCAAACAATTGTCATTAATTCCATCACCCCCCTTAAAATTCCAGACAAATTATCATTTTAAAGACTAGGCAGCATGGTCTCCGACCTTAGCCTGTTCCACAACGGAACAAATACTAAAAAAAAAAAAATCCATCACCCCCCCTTCCAACATCTATACCTAAACTGAAAGGCAAAGATATAGAGTTTAACTTCCATAAAAAAAAATGTTTTTTTTAGCCCATTTTTTTATAACATAGAAGCAAACAATCATGTGGCTCACCTGATAGTAAATGATTACCGCCGCCCGTATAGGGGAAAAAGATTGTTAGTAATGGGGTTAAATAGACCCATTACAAGCAATATACCCTGTCAGGTCGATCTCCATGTGGTTTCCCCTGGAAACCATTGTGGTTAATTCTAGTTAAATTTGTCAGGATGGACTAACTGACCTGCTTTTATCCTCACCTGTCATCTTTTATTGGTGCCCTGCCAGTGTATACTGATAGCACAGACCATTCCATTATCATCCATTAAGAACCGCCGTCCGTGATCACCCATAACACCAGAAGAAACGCAGGCCTTTTAAAAAGGTATAAGCTCTTATCTGGAATGCTATGATGTCTTATCGGTTCGAAAATAATGCTGATGGGAGTCGATTCCAAAGTGCGATTGTATATGGAAACGTATGGGGTTACCAATCCAAATTAATATTTAGAGGAGCTTCCTTCTGCGAGCTCTCAGGTTATAGAATGATCTTCCTGCCGAAACTTTCCCTACAGACTACGCATGGGGTTCTTCAAAAAGGCCGTATTAAGGTTTCTTAAAGGTCGGCAATGCGCGCACGATCCCTCCCTGATGCTATAGTCCATAGGATACCGTAACCAGCAGACGGGCCGTATGCTTTATTTGCCGTCAGTTATATAAGAAAAAATCTGTTGCGATTACCTCAATGGGCACGTGTTCTATTGTCGTACTATTGGCGACATTCGTAACGCAGTGGTAAGCATGTCGCTTTGTGTAAAATTGGTCTTATTTATTTATTTAAGGAACACCAACAGCATATTGCATTATAACATATAGGTATAACAAACATTAAATATAATACAATATTAATGCACATGCCTATTATAGGTATTTACAGCATTCACTTTAACATAATTATACAGTGTAAGAAAATGAAGTAAATAATAAAAACAAACATGTAACCCAAGTTGTGAGCAATATCAGAAAATACGATTATGAGTGAATTGAATTAAAAAATATTAAAAAAATATACATTATTATGATAATTAGAGTTAATTTTCATAAGATTGTTGTACAAAGTGCTTCAGCAATTTATTCCTGTAGGAATTCGAATTATCATACACTATATCAATTTCAAGTAATTTGGCATTAATTTCATTGTATGACGCACTAATCCTGGCCAGAGGTTGATGCAGATCTTAAATTCGATTCCTGTTAGGATGAATTAAAATAGGATGTCTTTGCTAGAGGAGTAGGACATTGGTGCGATGTGGCACTTATTATTAGTTGCAATGCTCTACTATTACCATGCTAACCAAGAGGTTTGTTTTTTGGATAGTGGAATGGTAACCTCGCTTGCGCTAACGGTATACGCTGGCGGGACATCAGTGAGGGATGATAGGCGAGAATGAGAAGGCAGTTCAGTTGGCCCATCGTGATGAAATAATCTAGAATTCAACATGGTGGTTTCCAGGGGGGACCATGTGTAGGTCGACTTGACAGAGTATATCGCTGGCAATGAGACGGGTAGCCTGCATGACTAACAAACCCTTCCCAGCCAAGAGGTTACTTTAAACCAACTCTCTTGGATAGCGTGCCTGTTTATAAAGGGTACCGACTTTTCATTCTCCTGTACTTTGTTTTCTTAATCACCTCATACGACATTCTGAAGAAGAAAAGGAATGATGATACGCTGTCATCAAATAGACATGTGATGTTTTGTGGAAAATGAAGCACCCCAATGTCAGATTTATTCAACTATATTCTATTAGACTAATTAAATCAATAGTTACTTTATTATTTGTTATATTAAACTTTCTCAACACGTGCGCTCTCGAACAGACCGATCGTGTGCGACAGTGTTGCCAGATATAAAATCTAAATACCACAGGAGACATGCAGATAACTTTATACAAAGTTTCCCTCTCGATGGACGAAATAAACACACCATTTATAATAACCATTTCAATTTATTCGGTTAAAATATGAAATAACTTACGTATACAGTAAAAATAAGTTTTACATAGTAATTGAAATAAACAAAAAATATCGCTAGAAGCGGCGAGAGGGCCGTACACTTTCCGCTGCCGCTCCCTCTCGCTTCCAGCTCAGCGCTACGATAAACCATAAACCTTGTTCTCCAAGTGTACTAAAATACATTCTAACGATTATATTATTGTAACTTGCATTATTAGGTATATTTTAACATATAAATGGACAATTTGGACGTACAGTTGTGATTTATTCACTAAAGTGATAAAAGAAAGGCCTAAGGAATTATGTTAGCTTCACTTTCGTTCCGTTAATCTATTATTTTATATTTACAGTTTTACTCTTACACCTAAATTATTGTAGGTAGGTATACTCTCAGAGATTTGCATAAAGTTTTTTTTTATTTTTTTTATATAGATTAGCTATTATGAACAGTATATTTTATAAGAAATGCTAGGTTAATCGAGGTAATTAACCTTTTTAATAGATTTGTAAGTGGGAAAAGTGACGCGCCATTTTGGCGCGTTCTCCGTCCGCCATGATACAAGGAACAAAAGTAAAGTAACATGTGACGTGAGAGAGTGAAGCGGTCGATGCATGTCCGGTGTACGAAAGAGAACTATTGCATCCGTGATATGTTTAGAGCCGAAGTAAAGGTGACATGACCGCTTCTAAGGGATTATATAGAAAACAATGACGTATTATTGCTTCTCTTATCAACATTGATTATACAAATGGTACATCACAAACATGTTGCCGTCCGGTTTTACACTATAGCTAAATTGTGCTATTTACTGTTACCGTTCGTCATTCTTTATTAACCTTAATTTTATATTTATATCACCTAATGAGGTTTCAAACAATAACCTACGATAACCCTCACACGTTGAGTCGCCTAATAGATCGACATTCTCTATGGTAGCCATTGACATGCCACGAGTATGACGCTTATCGTCATAGGAATTTCATTAATCGTATGACGATTAGCGGGGCATATCTTCACGCTTTATATGCTTATGTATTTTTTTATTAACTTAAAAGTACTATTTGGCTGAATGTTGAATCTCACGTGTCTATTATATACCGACAAAGTTGCCTTGCTGTAAACTAATACATATGTAAGAAAATAAAAAAAAACTTGAATGATTTGAACCAATTGTGCTATGATCAACGTGTGAGGTAGTCTATAAGAGACTGCTTAGTAAAAATGTACCTTAAACTACTCGTAATTAGTATTGGGTTTTCAACAACGTAGCTAAGGACCACCTACAGAAACTATCAACATCACAAAATCCCAAATACATAAATTATTGACAATGTGTGGCTAAGAAACAAACCTCAAAAGTCACGCATACAAGTTAATATAATGAGTTCTTAGAAAATGTAAGTACTGATGGCAAAACGTAATGGCACTGTACGTAAAGCGTACAAAACACTGTGTTGGCAAATCGGGACCAGTAGGGAACATTGCAATGGTGATTAATTAGTCTATTTATATCAACTATTACAACAATACGGATAAAATTAAAAAACACGATCAAAAACATATGGATAAGCTCAACTTTATTATCAAATGTAATGTTAATATTACATTTTGGCGCCAATTCTAGTACACGACCCAACTAAACTCACACTGTGAACTTAATGTTATCCTTTTTATTACTTATACTCTAAAAGGATAACTTATTTTTCAATAAGTTTTCAGTTTTGCAGTGTAAAAGTATCGACAAAATATCTTGTTTTAGGAGAAACATGAATGGGAGCAAATATGTATATAAATATTTTTTTTTACTTGTAAGTAACAATTGTATCACTTTATATGAAGGAATATCTCATTGAGAAATATCGAATCGACTTAAATCCCTTCATTTTGTATAGATAAGCGTCTCAACTCGCATTCATGCTGCTCCAAATACAGACAGACACCCAAATTAACGTCCATAGACAAAAATATGGTAGAAAATCACATATCCGCCATTATTTTTCCTACAAAAATATCCGAACATATCAGAGTCAGTCCATGAGTCGAAATCAGCAAGTTTCCACCAGTAGGTATTCCGCGAAAGGCACTGCTTTATGCAAATCAACAGTTGTCACCGAAACTGGGCTGGGTATATAGGAACAAAACGTTGAGCTCTCATAAAAGCGTCGGACCCGCAAAATAAATTCAGATCTTAACCTATATTATCATTAGAAACGGGAAGATACTACAAGAAACAGGCCTGGTAACCGTTTACAAACAAAACAAATCGATTCTTAGTGGAGTACAAATCATCTACGCTAAATATATTCTGTTAAGCTGCCTAATTTTGAGACATCCACTCTCTTTACACGAAAATGAACGAGTCAAATCAGTTTATTTAGTTTGCACTTGTTTTCCTCTGTCTATATTGCACTTAATCATCTCCTGACAAATATTTACATCAGTTGTGTTCACAGATAGGTAGCTCGCCGCCGAGTGGCCACGTCACGTCCCGTGGCCGAATGATTTATTTCACAAATAGTCCATGTTTTACAGACGATTAGATCTCGGCGGTCAGCTCGGTTGAAACCTGTAATAGAAATAAGTTGTTAATATTTAAGTCCTCAATAATATATCAATAACTTTAGTAGCTATTGCATGTAGGATGTCCTTTGTAGGTTGTGTGGTGCGACCTATGTAGTGAGGGCGGGCTGTGTGTAGTGTGGTGTGGTGCGACCTATGTAGTGAGGGCGGGCAGTGTGTAGTGTGGTGTGGTGCGACCTATGTAGTGAGGGCGGGCTGTGTGTAGTGTGGCGTGGTGCGACGTATGTAGTGAGGGCGGGCTGTGTGTAGTGTGGTGTGGTGCGACGTATATAGTGAGGGCGGGCTGTGTGTAGTGTGGTGTGGTGCGACCTATGTAGTGAGGGTGGGTTGTGTGTAGTGTGGTGTGGTGCGACCTATGTAGTGAGGGCGGGCTGTGTGTAGTGTGGTGTGGTGCGACCTATGTGGTGAGGGCGGGCTGTGCGTAGTGTGGTGTGGTGCGACCTATGTGGTGAGGGCGGGCTGTGCGTAGTGTGGTGTGGTGCGACCTATGTGGTGAGGGCGGGCTGTGCGTAGTGTGGTGTGGTGCGACCTATGTGGTGAGGGCGGACTGTGCGTAGTGTGGTGTGGTGCGACCTATGTGGTGAGGGCGGGCTGTGCGTAGTGTGGTGTGGTGCGACCTATGTGGTGAGGGCGGGCTGTGTGTAGTGTGGTGTGGTGCGACCTATGTGGTGAGGGCGGACTGTGCGTAGTGTGGTGTGGTGCGACCTATGTGGTGAGGGCGGGCTGTGCGTAGTGTGGTGTGGTGCGACCTATGTGGTGAGGGCGGGCTGTGCGTAGTGTGGTGTGGTGCGACCTATGTGGTGAGGGCGGGCTGTGCGTAGTGTGGTGTGGTGCGACCTATGTGGTGAGGGCGGGCTGTGCGTAGTGTGGTGTGGTGCGACCTATGTGGTGAGGGCGGGCTGTGCGTAGTGTGGTGTGGTGCGACCTATGTGGTGAGGGCTGGCTGCGCGTGGTCGGGCGGCGGCTGGTGGGGCGGCGGCGCGGGCGGCGCCGCGTACTCGACCACCTCCTGGTAGATGAGCTGCTTCCACTGCTCTACTGTGTGCTCGCGCTCATCTACCGAGTGGTCGTAAGCCGCCGGCGCCGGCTGCGGATACAAACATTTCGATCATATATTACGTACTTTTGACAGAACAGTATCTGTCGGGTCGCCTAGTTATATTTGATTAAGTAATGTACGTACAGCGTTGACCTCTCCCTCGTCGTACCAGACGTTGATGTAGGGGTGCAGCAGCGCGTCGTCGACGGAGATGCGGCGCTCGGGGTCGATGACCAGCATGCGCGACAGCAGGTCACGCGCCTGCGACGCCTGCGTTAACAACGTACGTGTAATGAAACTGAGCAAAAACGTTCAGTGTTACGCTATGACAGTTTATTTATTTATTTAACTCTTGATTGCACCAAAAAACATAAAAATAAACAATGACGTATAAACAATTCAACTGAAATACAGTAGCATGGAGTACAGATCAAAATATACATATAAAGGTACAAAAAGGCGGTCTTATCGCTAGGGCGATCTCTTGCAGACAACCTTTGGTTAAAGGAGAACATATAGAAGTGGGTAGGTGGTGCAAGAGTGAATTCATAATTTACTGTTTCAATGCTGTTATTCATTGCAAGCCATACGATGACCACACGGTCGATTAAGGTTTATATTATTAAAATAATTAGTAATTCGGTGAGAGAGTTTTCATTAATTATAAATAATGTGAAAGTGAGTTTATTCATTGCCTCTTAGCTTATTAAGGGCTTAATTCAAATTTTTTAATTCCAGATAACCAGATCTATTCTGTTAATAGTAGACTTAAAATTATGTTAGTGAAAAAGGTTATAATTTAATAAATCATTTAGTTGAGAGGCATTCGTTCTGAACGGCAACAGACCAGCGCATATATAGGGCTTAAGGCATCATTTTAAAATTTGGTATGCACGTAGATACAATATGAGATGGAGAAAGACATGGGTTACTTTTTGCCTTAACGAGTAAACAAATTTCGGTCACGCGGATGCAATTGGAAATAAAAATTAGTTCTGAATATAATGCTCATATTAATAATCTTCATGGCACCATCCTCGGTTTATTTACCATTTAAAACGATAACGGACACGCGTGATCAAGGTCGTCGAAAAATTTGAATTTACTGTTATAATTAGGAATGGATAAAACTAAAGCAATAAAGAATATGGTAAAAATCTGTTATTCAAAAACTAATTGGATAAAAAACTTTTACCATATTAAAAAATGGATATCTGACTGATGTGGGCGATATCTAAAATGGGTGACGATGACCTTCGACGACCTTTTTCTCTTCATCAATGTCCAGAGGAACCCATCATATAGATATCAGATCGGTATCCATACATTATCAAGAGGGGTTGGGGGGGGATGGGGGTGAGATAGCAGCGCGTACCTTGAGCCGGTTGTGCTCGTTGCTGTCGGAGGGGAACAGCACGTCGGGGAAGAGCCGCTCGAAGGAGTAGCCGGCGTAGCGCGGCCGGTTCTCCACGTAGTTGCGCACGGTGGGCTGCAGCCGCGCCATGAACGCCGCCGACGGCGTGCCCAGTTGCTCTGCGGAACCACCACATATACACATACACACACTCCATCACGACTCCGACCATCTCTCACTGTCTTCAGTAGTTAACTCTTGACAGAGTAGTCGTGGTTTTTATAATGATAGTGGATCGTCGATGAGGCCCTCCTTCGCGATTGAGGTCCTCGCAATATGTCTTCATCTACTTCTGCTCACAGCCGAGCGACAGCATTCCACAATAGACTGACAGACAGACTTGCTTAGAATATATAGATAGAGCATCGAGTCTCAAAAACGGGTCAACTTCTTGTCAGCTAATTAATTAATTGTAGCTTAAAAACTTTACAATGTACTCGTAATCCACCATATTGTGGCTGTGGCTGTTTTGAAATGCATTTATTTATCCTCTTTTTTTTTTTTTTTATAAAACTTAGAATGGCAAACAAGCTGACGGCCCACCTGATGGAAAGTGGTCTACAAACTTAGCTTTACCATGGACATAATAGAGTGTACTATTTCGCCCGCTATTCCGCTATTTAAGACAAATATTTACAGAATCCGCCATTTTGTGGTGGCGGCCATTTTGAAAATATTATAATACTGAATATTATATATAATAATATTGATAATCATGAATTGTGTTGTCAGTAGAGATACCACCAGCCTATATGCGATGGTTACTGCTCTCCGTCATATATTGTTTTTTATTTCTATTATTTTTACCAGTTAAAACAGAAGGTGCATATTAAAACCTTGAACGTTTCGAAAATATTTAATCACAGTAATTATCGGACTAGGACTACATACACATTTTAATATTTCTACAAAAAAATAATGATAGATAGATATTTTTTATTTAAGCAAAAATGCGGGTACATAATTTACTAATCAGTGATTACTACTTACTAAGCTTCGTAGTAACAGGTGAGTGGCTAATTTAGTTTTTTTTTATGCAAATTAGAATGGTAAACAAGCTGACGGCCCACCTGATAGAAAGTGGTAACCGTCGCCTACAAACTTAGCTTTACCATGGACATAATAGAGTGTACTATTTCGCCCATGATACCCCCCATGTGTTCCCATTTCTGAGGACTCAGGTGTTATTCCTCTGTACTTTGCAAATTCACTGCCACATCCCTTCAAACCGAAACACAGCTATGCAAACACAACTGCTTCACGGTAGAAACACGAATGGAACAGAAGTGCCCAAGCAAACGACTTTTGTACAAAGCCTCCCTCTATATATATATATATATATATATATATATATATATATATATATATATATATATATATATATATATATATATATATATATATATATATATAACCGCAACATGAATGATGTGTACTGACCTATAATTTTGTTCCACTGATCGATATGGTCTGTCCCGGGGAACAGGACGCCGCCGCGGATCATCTCCCCCATGATGCATCCCACCGACCAGATGTCCACGTTCTCCGTGTACCCCATGCCAAGGATCACCTGGAACGGGAAATAAATATAGGACTTCTTCTATTGGATACAACAAGCCCTTTCTGATGTTTAACTATCTTACATTTATTCGAATAGCAGATAGATAAATAGATAGGCACTGTTTACTGTTTCCTCCAAAAGATTACAATAGTAAACTTAATATAAATACAAACAATTACAAGAAATGATCACACTGAGAAAACAATGGGCGACTTTATCGCTAAGAGATATCTCTTTCTATATATTACTAATACAGTTAGTTTTATTACTGGTTTATTAAAAAAAAAAGTGTATTAAAATTTTATTAAAATAAAAAATGAATAATCTTAATCAAACTAGTACAGTAATAGTATTAAACAATTAAAATAATTAAAAAAAAAAAAACAAATAAAACAGTTATTAAAATGGATTCAAAAGCGATAAAGAAATAAAGTATCACGTGAGAATACGAAAAAAAATTGTAAATTAAACAAACACCTTCTGTTAAATTAAAAGATTTTTTTAATTAAAAATGTTATTAAACTCGGATAAAATAATATAAACTCAGTAGTAATACAGATTGTATACAAGTTTTTTTTTTTTTTTTTTTTTTTTTATTTAATTATAGAATCTTACATCTATCCTTCTGTCTTTATGAATCCTATCTAATGTAAAATATTAAATACTGTTTAAATGTTATTGTCGATTGCTGTTTACTGGTTTCCTTCTGTCTTTCAACTGCAAGAATAATTAGAATCTTTCTGCAAGCAAAGGTTGGTGACTGAATGCATTAGATGTCCTTAGTCACTGTTAAACTTCGAACTGGCCATCTGTAAACTATTAGAATGTAGATGACTTAAAATAAAGAGTTGTCATTGGAAAGTTCAAAGAGCTCTGGTGTTTTATTTTCTGTACTGATTGCCTTTTGTGTACAATAAAGAATAAAGAAAGAAAGAAAGAATATATGCGCCCTTCGAACCCTCGATACCAATATTTTAAAGTCACTACAGTTGGCATCATACGCATACCTCTGGCGCGCGGTAATATCTAGTGACGACGTAGGGTGTCATCATGAAGGTCGTGCCGGCGGTGCGCGCCAGCCCGAAGTCCAGGATCTTTAGCGTGCAGTCACTCTTCACCACTATGTTGGACGGCTTCAGATCCTGCACAAATATATAGAGACCCTCTATAGCCATATAAGTGATGTAGTGTGTACTAACCACCATCCCTCGGTGGGAAAGGGATTGTTAGTAATGGAGACTGAGAATCCTATTGCTAGCAATATACCCAACCAGGTCGACCTCCTCGCGGTTCTCCCTGGAAACTATCATGGTTAATTCCTGATGAATGCATCATGATGGGCTAACTGGCCTGTTTTCATTCTCATCTATCACCCTTCACTGGTGCTCCGCCAGCGTATCCCGTTAGCGCAGGCGGGGTTACTATACCATTTTCCCATCAAAAAAAAAACTACCATCCCTCGGTGGGAAAGGGTTTGTTAGTAATAGAGTCTGACTGCCACATTGCTAGCAATATATCCTATCAGGTCGAGCTCCCCGCTCCGAGCTCAGGTTTCCCCCGGAAACCATAATGGTTAATTATTAATGAATTCGTCATGATGGGCTAACTGACCTGCTTCATCCTCACTTATCATCGCTCACTAGTGCCCCGCCAGTGTATATCGATAGCGAAGACGGTGTTATCATTCCATTATCACCCATTAAAAAAACCCATTCTTGTTGGCTTTCAGCTACTTTATGATGCCAAGGTATATATATATATATATATATATATATACACACATAGATGTAATAAGTAATCCAACTGTCAGTTATATTGTAAAATCTTTTTGTTTTTGACTTTTGAAGGCATGGACGGTCTGCACCATTTTGATATCATTTGGGAGGGGATTCCAGAGTCTAGCAGCTTGCATTGTAAAGGATTTGGTGTAATGTATGGAATAATATCTGTGGTGCCATAAGAAGGGCTGTATAATTGATTGTATAAAGAATATTTCACTAAATTAATTACATGAAATATATTTCCAAAATAACTATCAGCGGGTGATTAGTGATCGATACTGATGCCAAAAATGCAATCTATAAAAATTTTGTCTGTCTGTCTGTATGTTCGTTATAGAAATAAAAACTACTCGACGGATTTTACCAAAACTTGGTACAATTATTCTTCATACTTCTGGGCAGGTTATAGTATTTTTTATCACGCTACGATCAATAGGAGCAGAGCAGTGAAGGGAAATGTTAAAAATGTCCACCCGTGCGACGCCAGAACCGGGCCGCTAGTTTTAAATAAAATAGAAAAATTATAGAAACCTTACCCGGTGTATAATTCCGGCAAGATGCAAGTGTTTGATGCCACAGAGCATTTGATAGAGCAGGTAGCTCATGCGCTCGTGGTCGAGGTCCATCTGGATCACCTGGCAGAGGTTCGCGTCCATCAGCTCCATCACCAGGTACACGTCCTGAAACTCCTCGAGGCTGCGCTGTGGCGTGAACGCGTTTAGCAGGCCGATAATCTGAAATATTAATAGAGGGAGACATTGCTTACTTCTGCCATCAAGTTCATGAAAACAATGAATTCATCACTATTTCAATATGAAAATATTCTGGCGTTAGTGGATAAAGTCATCTGGACTAGATGGTCCATGATCTTAATAGACGAGATTGGAACTACGGCAGCAATAGGTAAAGCAATAATAGGTAGGTTTGATGTAATAATAATAAACTCTTTATTGCGCACAGTAGAGATGTATACAAGGAGTATTTATACATAATGTGCATATACAAAAGGCGGGCTTATCGCTAAAAGCAATCTCTTACAGACAACCTGGCATAAAGAATGGATAAGTACAGAGAGAAAGGTAGATGGCGCTATTCAAACACAGTAAATGCATAAAAGGAATCAGACAAAATGCAAAATATTCTAAATATAAAAATAAGATTACAGTACATAAACATACATATATAATATAAATAATAATACATAAACATAAATATACTAAATAGATCAAGATAAATCACCAATGTACCCAAAAACACAGTCCTAATACTCAAAGCAAAATGATAGTTCTATCTTCTGCTTCCAGAGATTTTCAAAATTATTAGAATATATTTTAAATATACTATCGGGACTTAACGCGATAACCGACTTTTCGAAACGTCGACAATAAAGAAGCAGCAGGCCTACCATGAAATGTTTTCCGAAATTTCGGAGCCAAACGAAACACAAATTTTATGTTAAAATTACATAATACATGCCGTTTGGAAAAATTAAAAATGTTAAAATATCGTTCCTTTGGACTTTTATGATAAGATGTATGACGAACGAAATGTTTAACTCCATTTATTGGTCCGGTTTTGGTATAAACAAAAACACGAGATTGAGTCCGAAATTTCGGAATTTCATTTCATGGTAGGCCCGCAGGTATGTAGGTACTATTTACCTGCAAAAAAATGTTCATCGCCTTAAATCCCAATAATGTTTTTATCAACACGAAGTTTAAAACGAACTATTGTTAAAACATTCCCTTAAAAGTTTGCTAATGACTTCGATTCTGCCTTATGGACCTGTAGATAGAATAGATTACTTACATTTTTATGGTTGACGAGCTTCATTAGCTTGAACTCGCGGTACGCGCGCTTCGCGTGCGTCACGTTCTGGAACGGTCGTGACAACTTCTTGATCGCGACATTCTGTTGTGTCACTGTGTCGTACGCGGCGCTGTGGACAACATTTGTAGCAAGTTGAGTAACATTTTGAAGAAAATGAAATGGTAGTCTCGCCTATGCTTTCGGTATACACCGACGGGGCAGTGAGAATAGGTGAGAATGAAAGCAGATTTTTTTTTATTTTAGCTATTGCTTTTATCACTATGTTTTAATGGGACAACCTTCATATCTTTGTTGTCATACATATGTCATATACATGCAGAACGCACCTTTTTAGAGTATATTTTTAAATTTTATATTTTAATTTTGTTTTTCGATATCTGACAATGTCATCTTTCAGTTATTATATTTTTCTCTACCACTAGCAGCGACCGTCTTATTATTTCGTAAAATATACAGTCCATTTTCAAGAGCAAATCTCTCTTTAAAATATTTCGTATATTTAACTAGTTGTGTTCGTCACTGGGTTAGATGTTTAGTTCCGTTTTTCTTGGCAATTTTTGTTATAATATATTATTTTTAATGAAAGCAGGTTAGTTGGCCCATAGTGACAATTACAATAATAATTAACCACGATAGTTTACAGTAGAAACCGCGTGGAGGTCATCCAAAATTGGGGTGTATTGCTAGCAATGGGACTTTTAAACTCTATTACTATATTTGCCGTATCTGAAACGAGATCAAATCGAAATGACATTTGATGTCTATTCGCATTGCTGCCAAGTCCATTGCGTCAAAAGTGACTGTGCAATTTTAGAGGCGCATAAATCTATAAGCTGTACGGACCTGGTATAGGGTAGGCCATCATTTCCTTTCTAGTGGGCGCCCTTCTTAAAACATCATAAAGACATAACTGTGGTTGTCAACCTACCTGCCAAGCGATACAACTACTGGCAAAATCCCCTATAGGAGAAAACCAGAGAGAGACTTTGTACAAAAGTCGATTGCTTGGGTACCTCTGTTCCATTCGTGTTTCAACCGTGAAGCAGTTGTGTTTGCATGGCTGTGTTTCGGTTTGAAGGGTGGGATATGGCGTGAATTTACAGGGTACAGAGGAATAACACCTGAGTCCTCAGGAATGGCAACGCATGGGGTATTATGGGCGAAACAGTATACTCTGTTATGTCCATGGTACTGCTCATGTCTATAGGCGACGGTTACCACTTTCCATCAGGTGGGCCGTCAGCTTGTTTGCCATTCTAAGTTGTATAAAAAAAACCCTACTTTCAACAGCGGAGTATTCTATTATTATTATACGGTACTTATATTAATCTATACTAATATTATAAATGTAAAAAGGGAGTTTTTTCGTTGAACGGCTCAACCATTTGTCACGAATTGAACTTGGCATACACGTTGATACCATTTGGGATGGCATAACGTTACTATTTATTCAGGTTAATAAATATAAAATATACCGGTTACGCAGACGAAATCACAAATAAAGACTAGCAAGTAAATAAACAATTCCAAGTATTTGGAAAATCGAAAGTTTGCGCGGTGGTTTTTCATGGAATACATTTTAGTATTCGGCGAGGTTGGAAAATCCAACTGAAACCGGAGATAACGAGTTCAGCGTGGGCCGAGCCACGGGATATTCAGTTATTGAGTAGAACTATGTCGTCTAGATAGTTACCTCATAACTCCGTCGTTTGTAAACCGATTTGGATAAATCTCTTTTCACTCACCTTCAAAAAGAAAGACTCAATTCGATTGTCACCTCTACCTTTCTTTTTGTTACCTCAGAAGTCCGTTATTTCGGAACCGATATGGAAAATTATTTTCCTAACTGAAAGGATACACTTTCAGATTAGTTACGTTAGAAATTTTATCAAAATCGGTCTAGTAGCAATAGTTTGGTTTAAAAACAGAATTAACTGATTTTGCCACGAGCTGTTTTTTTTTGTAAAACAAAATATGTTATTATCAGTTGTTAATTTTGTCCTTCTAAATCGATTTAAAAAATACTTTTTATCTAAAAGTGAATAACTCTGACAGTTGTAAATCGATTTTAAAAATTTTAACCTGAAAGGATATACTTACAGATCGATCACATAGAAATTTTATCAAAATCGGTTCTGTGAATCACTTTTCAATTAAAAATCAAAATAATTTTGCCACAACTGAAGTCGATTTTTTTTTGTGAAAAACAATCTTCAATTATTTATTTATTTATTTAACACTTTATTGCACCAACATAACGGGATTTGTTGAACAATTGTCAGTAAGTAAAGTGTAGTACGAAAGGCGGTCTTATTGCTAAACAATCTCTTCCAGACAACCTTTGAGTAGAAAGAAAGAATAAATAGGTTGGACAATTATTGTAAGAAACGATATACTTTCAGGTTTTCTTATAGATTGGCCATATGGAAATTTCATCTAAATATATTTAGCGGTTTAGTTTTGAAACCAATATAAATGGTTTAGCCACGATTGAAATTAGCGTTTTAATGGAGCAAAATCATAAATTGTAGAACTAAATGGGGTGCTTTTTAAATTGTAATATTCGAGTAATTAGTGAATTTATCGATACAGATCTTTATTACCACCAATAATTTTTTTTATACAACTTAGAATGGCAAACAAGCTGACGGCCCACCTGATGAAAAGTGGTAACCGTCGCCTATAGACATGAGCAGTACCACGGACATAACAGAGTATACTGTTTCGTCCATGATACCCCCCATGGGTTGCCATTCCTGAGGACTCAGATGTTATTCTTCTATACCCAGTAAATTTATGCCATATCCCACCCTTCAAACCGAAATACAGTCATGCAAACACAACTGCTTCACGGTTGAAACACGAATGGGACGGAGGTACCCAAGCAATCGACTTTTGTACAAAGTCTCCCTCTGGTATATCATACAATAATAGTTGGAAAAACAATAATAAAAAAAGAAAAATAAAATTCATTTTGCTAGTAACAGGAGCCGCCTCAGCTGTTGCTATATATGCACACCTCCAGCGAGCTGTACCTATACAGCGCTGGTTTTCAGGCGACCCCTTATATCATTTCTGCATATAATTACTTTTCTCCATCCAAAGGTTGTCTGGAAGAGATCACTTTTAGCGATAAGGTAACCTATTGTTTTCTAACTGTGATTATTTCTTGTAATTGTTTATATCTATAATAAGTTCACTATTGTAATCTTTTGGAGGAAACAATAAAGAGTATCTATCTTATATACCCATGATATTCTTTTAAATATGCAGTATGAATAACTTACATATTTTATATGGTTGAAGAGTCACTCATTTATTAATGTTAGCAATTTATGGCCACTATTCTAAATAGACAATAGAGATACATTAACATTTATCAATGATAATAAATATGTAAGGACAAGTAATGTGGGTTAGTCGTATTAGACACATTAAATTTAGTTAAATAACGATTAATTAGCTACTAAATTAGCTAGTACATATAGTTTACTTTGTTAGAAGCATAATCGAGTCCACAAATATCAAAGTTTGGCATTGGCAAAGTGTGAATTGTGATTGAATCATAGATACAATCCATAGAGATATAGGAATGATTACCACAGTATTGTAGATAATACAATTTTATAAATACTGCTCTGTCTTAAATACACTGGGTTGATTCTCAGGCACTATATTCTACAGAATGATAAAGATATATGGCATGCCGTAAACGTCTACAGCTCATACTTAGCGGGCCGAGGCGCGAAGTTAGGCTCGTACTCGCGTCACAGTAGCTTATGACTAAAGATCACGAATTGATTCCGAAACTAGTCGAGCTTTTACGATCTAATTACACATAAGTTAAACCGTTTATTACATTAAAAGAAAAAAGTCTTCAAAATTAAAATATAAATTTGATATGACGACCAGATGGGACGAGAGCCTCCACCCTAACGTCCAGATAGACATAACAGTTATAAGCACAAAGCGCTTTACACCTTCCTTCATCATGCATATGACCAAGAAGTGGAACTCTCTCCCTGCTTATGTTTCTCCATCCAAATATAATCTGCTTCAATTTAAGACGAATGTGAATAGACTATTCGTGAGCCCGCGAGCCCCATCTTAGACCAAATCGCTTTCCATCAGGTGGCATCGTGATCAATCGTGGGACTTTTCAATAGTAAAAAAAAGGGCCAATATAGATTAAATTTTGCAATGGATTCGTATCTGAATGCTATCATTTTTTGGTAATCTGTAATACAATATTTAGTTGATAAACATTTAAAAATCGTTTTAGAAAAATGTCATTTTTGAATCGACCCCATTACGACATTACGAACAGTAATCAAATTAACAGACATAAGGATGTAAGGAGAATCTGTAAGGTTGTTGAAATAAGCGGTTGCTTTGACCAAATATTAATAGGTTAATGAGAGATGCTGTTTAAGCGGGCACTCCGTTATGGAGACATAAGACAGCTTACCACACCACCCCCTGTGCACCCATCCCGAAGAACCTGAGTTCGGTATACCGAACCGGTATTGTGAACACCGAATCCTGCGCTCCCACAGAGTAAAACTGATCCATACTCCGTTTTTTGATACTGCGTCAACTACAAAGAGAAATATGTCTAACTATATGTACTGGTGGTGTATTTCTATGCATGTTTAGTACAGTGGTGGTGATGTGGTGGATCCTTCTTGTAAGTTTGCTTATTTAAAGCCCCATGAAAAAGGTGATAATAATCGATTAATAGTTAATCCTAAATCAATATCAATTGCAAAATAAATTAAAACAATAAAACATATACGATTGCATTCCACACAGAGGATGAAAACATACTGTTTAAATAAAGTACTAAATATGGAATTGATATCATGTAGAAAACCGTTCTGTAAAATTATCGTCAGTTATAAAGAGCAATTTTATTTAAAACAATATTAATTCTATTCGAAACAGCTACCGGTTTAACATACGTGTAATTTGATCAAGAAAGCTCGACTAGTTTCGGGATCATTCCGGACCCTTAGTATTCATCGGCTATGATATGAGCGTGAGCCTGACAAACTAATCCAGTTTTTTCAATCAAATTACACGCAAGTCAATCCAGTCGTTATTATATTAAAATACAATGATTATTTACGACATTTTTAAGAATAAAATTCTATTTATGTTTAACTATAGCCCACGAAGAGGAAAAAGAAACAGAGAAGTTGTCGAGTATGACGTAATCGGATGGATATAAATGCTAAAATTATTATAACCCCGAATCTTCTATTAATATTATTGTATTGAAGAAATTAAGATTGATTTAACAAAGCGCACATCAAACTGTTCTCTCTAGAAGCTTGCAAATAATACACGTATGTTGCTTAAACGATGTCATCATTAAGCAAGGGTTCTTGTAAATTTTTACAGGAACGCGAGTTATAATGGAACGAGTCCGCTCGTTCTATGCAATGTCCGGGGAATGATAAAAATAAGATAATATCAACCAAAGTGTAATAATTTTGGTAAATTCGGTCATGGCATAGGTTCAGTTAGATTCCCTTAACAAATTCCCGAGTTTCATAGGATCATCTACATGTTTTTTTCTTTTAATATTTACAAGTAAAATAACATGTGTATTAATACAAAACCGAGCGTATACTTATTGCTATATATGATTTTTTTTATACAACTTAGAATGGCAAACAAGCTAACGGCCCACCTGATGGAAAGTGGTAACCGTCGCCTATAGACATGAGCAGTACCATGGACATAACAGAGTTTACTGTTTCGCCCATGATACCCCACATGCGTTGCCATTCCTGAGGACTCAAGTGTTATTCCTCTGTACCCAGTAAATTCACGCCATATCCCACCCATCAAACCGAAACACAGCCATGCAAACACAGCTGCTTCACGGTGGAAACACGAATGGGACAGAGGTACGCAAGCAATCGAATTTTGTACAAAGTCTCCCTCTGGATTTAGAAAGTGAGTTTATGAGAAATATCCTACGCTAAGATTATAGACTTCGTCCACCATATAATGGCGACGACATAAAAAGTTGATGGAAAAGCACTAACGACAATCTTGGTAGTGTCTACAGAATCTCACGAGAACTAACTCGGCATGCAGAGAGGCGATACGTTAGGAACAATTATAACGTTTTTAATCAAAAGTAAAATAAATGAAAAGTTAAAAAAGATATACAGTGTGAAAGTAATGAGTCAGTTGTCACGATTGCCTAACATTAATAATGATATTAATACGACCTTAAACAAATTCAAGTTCACTTCGTATAAAATTCTATAGTTTAATTTAATCGGCTTAATAACAGCATGGCATGTATATATAGATTATAAGTGTACAAATCTTTCAAATCCAAAGTATTACTGTAGTCTAACTATTTATTATAGGGGGGAAAAGGATTATTAGCAATGGAGTTTGACAGCCCCATTACTAGCAATATACCTTATTAGGTCGACGTCCACGTGGTTCGCCCTGGGAACCATCGTAAACAATTCTCGTTGAATTCGTCACGATGGGCTAACTGACCTGCTTCATCCTCACTTATCATCCTTCACTGGTGCCCCGTCGGTGTATACCGATAGCGCGGGTGGGCTTACCATTCCATTATCATCCATTTAAAAAAAAAAACTATTTATTGTATACCTAGTACTGTAGTTTTTATCATTTTTCATCCTAATAGTTATATAGAATTTGAATATGCGTGTCATGGCGGCCATTAATTGAGGCAGCGTTTTATAATGTAACGTTATTATCATGTATTTTAAATAGATATAAATGTACGCTTTGTTGATTGTCCTTAAATAAATAAATAAATGGTACAAGTTCTGAAAGTGAATTAAGCCAGAGATGTATATAAATCCTTTGGAACTTAATCCTCTCTGTTTGTTCCGGAAAAGACTTGGCATGAAGTTAGATATGTCTTTTTATAATGAAAAATGAATGAAAATAAAGTATGCATAGGGGATGCTGATGTAGATCAGTATGGGCAGAATGTGACTTACCATACAATACCCTGGGCGCCGGAGCCGATGGGCTTCAGGTTCTGGTAGCGCTTAAGTATCGTGAAGCGTGTGTCGCCGACCTCGACGGTGTAGAAGTGAGGGTGGCGCGGCGGGGCCGACATGGCGGTGGCTGGGGGCGCCGCGTGGGGCATGGACCACCCCTACCTGTGGGCGAAAGATTTTTAATTTAAGCCACTATTAAACATCAGCAGACTTTCTTGCATCATCATCATCATTTCTGCTTGTATTTATCCACTGCTGGATATAGTCATTCCTCAATGACTTCCAACATGTATGATCTTCCGCTTCTTGCACTAGGGGTCACACATTATTGGCCCTTTTCATCAGGGAGCCCATAAGTTACCAGATTGGGCGAGCAAGTTGGTGATTGGAATTTTTGGATGAATTTTGGTAGGATTTTTCAAGGATTTCAGGGCAAGAGATAGGATGTCACTATGTCCTAAATCTTCTCCTAAACTAAATCCTATTAGAGGATGAGGCATACGATTTGTGATAGTAACAGCGGTGTCCGGGGTCAAGTGTCCATATTTATCGGAAAGATGAACCCACTGAAGGGCTGTCTTTGCCCGGGACAATTTTATGTTTTTTATTTATACATTTTCATTAAGTTTAAGTTTTTATCGAAAAAGTCTATCAGATCGCTTTCTAATCTTTAAACGGTGGGGGGAGATAGGATTATTAGTAATGGGGATTAGTAGCTCCATTGCTAGCAATATACCCTGTAAGGTCGACCTTCTCGTGGTTCCCCCTGGAAACCATCGTCATTGATTTATTGTTAGATTCTTCATGATGGGCTAATTGTTCTGTTCATTCTCACCTATCATCCCTCACTGGTGCCCCGCCAGTGTATACCGATAGCGCAGGCGGGGTTACCATTCCATTATCATCTATTAAAAAAAATCTTTACACGGTATACTCACTTTAAGAGAATGTCCTTGTAAAAGGTGAGTTACTCTCCATATATTGGGTCCGCCGGGTTATTGTCGGACACCCGTGTACTGAGCGGGTGTGGCGCCGGCTATCACAGGTTCAGTCTTGGTGCCGATTGGAAGACTTTGCAATGCCAATTACGTCTGGAGGCAAACGAAAAAAAAACATTAGTAATTAAAAAATAACCAGTACATTATTTCAGGCTTTAACTGTCCACTGATGATTATAAGCCTTGGGGGGTTTTGCCACGCTCGGAAGTCGGGTTGGCAACTGCAGTCAGGCTTTGGATATGTTTTAAGAGGCACGCTGCTGTCCATCCCTATCCCTCCTATGTTAGTCGCCTCTTACGACACCCACGAGAAAGGAAGGGTTGGCCTATTCTATACCGGACTCACAGAGCACATACAGAGGATTAGCGGGAAAGGGATTGTTAGTAATGCGGACTACCAATCCCATTGCTAGCAATATAGGGTATATTCAGGGTCAGGTCGACCTCCACGTGGTTCCCCCTAGAAACCATCGAGCTGAATTCCAGGTGTATTCATCACAGTGGTCTAACTGACCTGCCCTTTCATCCTCACCTATTATCCCTCACTGGTGCCCCGCCAGTGTATACCGATAGCGCTGACGGGGTTACCATTCCATTATCATCCATTGAAAAATAAGGACATACCGGAACCATACAGAACTTTTAAGTTGACAGACATTTTTTTAGCTAGATTTGAACGTACGAATCTTGCAATCTCGCACTGATTGATACTTAAGAATGATTATGCTAATTTCGACTGACTCGGGGCGGGTCCAGACGTGAGTTATGCATACTTCCTTTGTTGTCTAGTACGTAGCTACGAATACGTGTTTCAGTTTACAGACAGCAGACGACCATACTTTATTTATCGTTAGCTATTAGCAAAATATGAGAGTGAATTTATTATTTGTAACTTTATTACTCTTGGATTTATAACGGTTTAATTAATTATCATGAGAATTGGCAGGCTGCTGTTTGTCGCGGTAACGTGGATTACGTATGGAATGTTAGAAGGCCGACCCTGTTTGAAATGAATTTAGTTTGCTAGAATGTAGGTAATTTTAGATGATAGAGATTTACATTTCCCATGTACATTCTGCCTCTATGTCGGCGTGCAAATTTTTAATAATATAAATAATTTATGTAGAATAATGTGTATGTGTGTGTGTGTGTGTGTGTGTGTGTGTGTGTGTGTGTGTGTGTGTGTGTGTGTGTGTGTGTGTGTCTTTCTCCTTTCATTAATCATATAATATATTTATTATTACTATTATCATTATAATTATTTGTTACAGTAAACAGAAAATAAAAGCCTGCACAATAGTTGTCCAAATTAATGAATTATTTTAACAAATTATGACGTTAATTAGTGTAATTAAGAGCAGAAGCACCAATTGCATCTCTAGTGTAGGTTGTCAAGTGCATTTGTTTTTTTTTTAGTGAAATATTAATTAATGGTTTGGTTCAAAAAGTCACAAAATACTTGCAACCACATTGCATCAATTTAATGTAAAATAATTAATTTTGCAATTAATTATATTACAAGTTTGTCTCATGTTGGCTCAAACGACTGTAGCGGATTAACATTTTACATGGACTGAAGAATTTTCCATTGAAATAGCTTTTTATAAAACGGACGATTCCCGTGAAGGGGACGTTGCCAGTATTTCTTCTTAAATAAATAAACGTAAACCAGTCCAGTTTTTATACCATTTTATATATAAATATATTTCTATTATTGGGTGGCACAGTGTAATTATTTCAAAATAGATATAATAAAATAATAGAATCTCTCTCTTTATTTTTTAATGCACACAGAAAAAAAATAAAAAGTGAAATGTCAATAGAGAATTACTGTACAAAGGTTTCAATGCCCTAACGAGGTATCTAAATACTATTAGATATTCTGTTATGTCTATGGTGCTGTTCATATCTATAGGCGACGGTTACCATTTTTCAACAGATGTTTTTAGTACTTCTGGATCGCGTAAATGACAGAGCGATCCGTTCTCGCTATTGGATACGGGTGACGGGTTTCGTCTTTTTTTATGGGTGAAAATGGCATGGTAACCCTGCCTGAGCTATCGGTATACACTGGCGGGCTACCAGTGAGAGGTGAGGATGAAAAGGCACGATAGTTTCCAGGGGGAATCGCGTGGAGGTTGACCTGATAGGGTATATTGATAGTAATGGGGACTAACCTCCCCATGACTAACAATCCCATTCCAACAGGTGACGGGTCAGGTCGAAATATGGGATATGAACTCAATAAATAATGTTTCCATTAGGTTAAGGTTAAATAAACAAACCAGCAAATAATCGTAATAAGCAACTAGGGTTCAAATGAAATCATAATCCAATAAATATTACGCGAAACGTTCGCGAATCATTAAAAAAGATGATGTTGCGAATAAATTTGCAATTTTCATTTTTAAGTGGCAATTCGCTGCTCGCCAGCCAGAGGGCGATAGAGTCGTAGTTATACGTAGTAAAACATGACGGGTTTATTCTGATATACGTTTATACAATTATAAACTTTATTCTATTCAGCATAAGTCTACTTATCAAGGCTCTATATTGTGAGTTTGAGTAGCGATACCATAATTAAAGATTGTGATAAAACTAGCTATTTTGATGTAAAAACTAAACTATTGAAATTACGATGGGAACAATCTGTAAATATGTCCTTTAAGATAAAAAAAAATCCATATCGGTTTACAATGACGGAGTTATGCGGTAACAAACATAAAGAAAATATACAATGTGCTGAGAAAGTTCTTCTTTTTGAAGTCTTTGGAAAGAGTAATTACAGATTGCAAATTCGTAAATTGTAGTTCTTGGCGAAATCAAAATTTTTAATAATAATAAATAATTGTAACATAATGCCATCAGTCGCCTAGTCCGCGAGCCAGACGATGAACACAAATGATTTAATCATGATCTGCTGACGTTTCATCATCATCACCTTCCTAACCATATCCCAATTATTATTTGGGTTGGGGAGAAAGGGATTGTTAGTAATGGAGACTGAGAATCCCATTGCTAGCAATATACCCAACTAGGTCAACCTCCTTGCGGTTCTCCCTGAAAACTATCATGGTTAATTCCTGATGTATTCATCATGATGAGCCAACTGACCTGTTTTCATTCTTATCTATCACCCTTCACTGGTGCTCCGCCAGCGTATCCCGTTAGCGCAGGCGGGGTTGCCATACCATTTACACCCATCAAAAAAAAATTTGGGGTCAGCGTAATATGTTTTCCTCTCTATTCGCAGTCATTTCCGTATTCACTGCCATTCTGGCCATATCATCTTTCACACAGTCCATCCATGTCTTTTTAGATCTTCCTCTGTCCTTATAGCCATCCACACGCATTCTTAATGTCTTTCTTAAAACATGCTCCTCATACATGCGCGACACATGTCCATAGCAGGATAATTTTGTCCATTCTGGTCACACCAGCAGCCATCTCAACATTCGCATCTCAGCTAACATGCAGTCGCCTTTGTTGGCCAACACTTCGATCCATACAAGACAGCAGGCTGGATTATGCTCTTGTAAATTTCCCCCATAACGTTTTAATAGAACATTCCTCTTTATTATTTGTCATATTAGTAAATTTTTTACTGTTTTTCAAAAATAGAATAGAATAAAAACAATCTTTATTCAAATAGACTTATTAATTTTTTTTTCGAATCTATTGCTAGGGTATTACGAAATATTGTTATCTGCTAAGACCTTATAGTAAGCACGATTAGCTTCAAGTTACTTGAACACATCACGAGTTCAATTTACATCAAGCAAGTTCCTTTGAGAAAAAAATTCAATCTTACTTGTTAAACAAAGATTCATTTTTCGTTTTCATTTAGCCAACCCTACACAGAATTGAGCAATAAATAAATAAATAAATAAAAATGAGCTTTATCCTCACAATTGACGGTAGATATTTCAATAATTAACAGATCACCGTTGAGCAGACATTGTATCAAAAATGTAAACGCAACAGATGGAGAATCCCGGTCACGTTTCAATTTAGTTCCAAACTGCAAAATTGGCAGTTCGCAGTTTAGAAATGCGAACGTGGTGTAAGCGATTTTGCTAAATATGTCCAATTTTGTTGTTTTGTCTGGTCGTACGATGTTAACAGTTATTTATCAATATATTAATAGTGGCTATTGACGGCATTTGATGGAACTTTGTACACATATTATATGTTAATAAAAAATCTCTTGTATATTCCCTAAAAAAAGAAGTTATAATAAATACCTTTATGTGTATATATTTCAATCTGTATTTATGTTACTGTATTTCACTTGAATTATTCACTTGTCATTGTATATTTTTATTTATGGTGCAATAAAGAGCTAAATAAATAAATAAATAATATCGAACTTGTTTTGCTATTTAAGGCGAATATAATGTAGATAAATTTTCAAAAATTTTTTCATCAAGTTTTATAAATATTTAAGAATACTTATATATTATAAGACTTGAAGGCCTACCATGAAATGTTTCCCGAAATTTCAAGGTTTAACGAAACAGATTTGATGTTAAAATCACGTGATAATAACTGTTTAAAAATATTAAAAATGTTAAAATATTGTTCCCTGGGACTTTTAAGGTAGGATTTATGGCGAACAAAATGCTCCATTTACTGGGTCGACTTCGGTATGGACAAAAACACGAAATTAAGTCCGAAAAATTCGGAATTTCATTACATGTAATTAAACAGCATTAAGTTTCCATAACAGTCGTCATCATTCATCCCTATCACAAATATTATTTGGGGTCAGTGTAATACTTCAGTTTCTATAAATACCTGCAAACAATAATATTGCTCCGCAAAGAAAAATAGCGCAGTCAATTGTGGCAAAATTCGATATCATAATTGGAGTCAGTTATGCTAAAAAGTAAAGCAAACTCACATAAGTTTACTTTAAATTTTAAAGAAAATTTAGAATTTTAAATCATTTATTAATTTTAAATTCAAAATGTTCTTTAAAAAAAAAAACTCTCTAAAAGTTTTCTAAAAAACTTTCGTGTTGTCTACAAATATTGTATATATAAAATCGAAGCATAACGCGATATAAAAGAGACGTAAAACGCCGCCCGATTG